GAGGCTTGTTTTTGGTGCCACTCAGGCTGGTTGGAGTATTTCAGAAACTTGACATGTGTCACACAGCATATCAGCTGTCCAGTGATTCTCTCTGATCCAAAATACAGTCTGATGGCATTGTATGAAAACTATCACCTGAGTGCTTAGCAAAACTGATAAAAAGAAACACAGCAATTACTTAAATATCCACTTCTTTTACTGAGGTAATCATCTGTCAGCTCAGAACAGAAAACCACTTAGCAATAAAACTTTCAAGTGCTCCCTAAAAGTTGATCATAGAAGATTTAGATGTTTAAAGCATTAGTCTAATTCGCCTTCAAATGTGCTGCTACAGCATTCATTCATGGTGGTACAAAATTGATGTGAGAAACTTTGGGATGATAGTGAAACCAGAGATTTTTGTCATGGAATCGCAGCCGACCAATCAGCTGCAAAAGCAGGACGCCATACTCTCATTGAGGTGCAAAATGTCTGGTGAAGTGTTTGCAGCACCTTCCTAAATCCATGCCACAAAAAATTAAGTCATTTCTGAATGTGAAAGGGGGTAACCATCCTGGTGCTAGTTAAGTGTACCTAATAAAATTGGTGAGTTCACATTTAATATTGGCCTTAGAATCAGAGACTGAAGACATTTAAATGTGCCAAAAGTAAAATTACAACTTCCCAAAAAGTAAACCTAATGTTGTGATGTTTGTTTTCTGTGGAGACCTTCACAGGTGATGGTTTATACAGTACTACACTACGAGCCTATAATCTTGAAACAGTGAAGCAATGAACAAGCACATTGGAGGCTAGTAAAAAGTACAGAAACCATAAGGTTGAACTACAGGTTGAACTACTTCACAGACACACAAACGCACAGGCCTAAGCCTGGAAAGGCAACAGTGAGCCTTAAAGCTTCCAAACCAACCAACACTCACTGTCATCTTCTTCTTTATCCTCTTTCCTGTTGATTTCCATGACAGCTTCCCAGTCCAGCTAAGCTAAAATGAAGAGACACAGACTGGGTCCAGCAGAACATCTAGCCAAGCTGCTAGATCCCAAAATAACTCCAAAGCACAGACAGTCCCCCCACCTAAATCTCCAATAAACTCCCCCCTCCTCTCTGTGGTCATACCCTGTTGATCCCCTGACTCCCAGGTCCAGTACCTATTTACAGCCAGTACACTCAAGGCAGTGTGTTCCCACCTCTTACTCCCCCAGGCTGGAGTGTCACTCACTCTCACTCTTCAGTCCTGTGCACAGCTGCCCCCGCTTCCTCCCTGATTTGTTTACTCAACCATAAGACCCACAATGCAGGGAATGTGGCTGTAGGGTGACAGTGCAAATTAACACAGGGTAAACGGGCAGCAAAGTGCTGGTTGTGATTACAACAAATGTCCTCCACTATAAAAGCCAGTGTCAAATCCTCCATGACGGCAAACATCCAACCTGCTTACGCACCCACGGTAGAGAGACTGAAACACTACCAGCTCAGACAGAGACGTGTCACCAATCCTCATCTGAGAACTCATCCAAGGGTTTCCTCCAAAAGTAGTGTGTAAACATTATCTTTGTCAATGGGGTTTTCCCGCTAATGATATGAGGCACTTACAAGAAGGCCCATCTAAAAAACATATCAGTACAAAGGGCCATAGCTTTGTTAAAATTCAAGTTCACCTCTTAATAGATGGGTAGTATGTCACTAACACATTGTAGCCTTGTCTAAAATGTTAGGTAAGTAAGTCCCATTCTCACAAAGAATAATAATAATAATAATAATAATAATGTATTAATCCTGCGAGGGGAAATTCATTTTTTACACTCTGTCTAGTAAACATGCTACACAAACATAGGCTGAAATACACACACATGCACAAACAGGATCCTATGGACGGCGACCCTCCGATTCCCAACCCAAGTCCCTACAGACTGAGCTCCTGCCGCCCCAAGAGACATTACTGCTATAATTCAACTGCCAGCTCATGCAATAATACACAAAATTAAAAGACATTTCAAGTTTCATTGTGGAGCCTTGATTTTTTTCCCCAAAGAATGTGAAAGATAGATACACACACATTCAATCATGGTCCAACAACACAGGTGTTTTCACTCTGCCTGATTAAACACTTTGCTTGTTAGCTGTGCATGTACTTGCTGGTATCCTGTAATTCCTGACGTTTTATCAACCTGAATAATTAAATCCACCTGTGTGCATCCCAATGCCAAAAACCATGACAAACACCTGCACACATTTTGTTCAACTGAAAAATATGTGCTACACAGATCAATAAGAACAAAATATGCTGTTTAATATATGCTTTATACCTTGTAGCTGACGTTACTTTAGGTTACACTAAATAAAGCTTTTTAGCTCCTTTTCAGCATTAGCTCACCTTTGATAATTCAACACAGTCTCTAGGACGTCCACCTATCAAGCTGTGACCCCTCCCTCGTTTCACAGGTGCGCAGCAAAGATGACACAAGAAGCTGTACTAGTTTATCAAATGCCCCAACACTCATTTGATTAAATTTCCAAAACTTAATTATGTTAAATTATCTGTTTTTAATTGTGGCATCAGCATAAATAACACAGCTAACAGTTAGCCGGCTAGCATATGTTAAAAAAGCCGACTCGTGTTTTAGGACAGCTATAAAATGTAGTATTATTTCAGTCTATGTTTATAAATAGTTAACACACAAAGGTTTTATGCCCACACATTGTGATAAAAGTTACCAGTAGAGATGCAGTGGCTTCTCTCTCATGTTCACTATCGTTAGCTCTTCAGAGGTTATTTTATCTTATACTGGGCCAAACATATCCACCTGCACAAAGTAAACTCACACAAAATGTACCTGTCCTGTTTATCTAACAGTACGCACAAATAAGAAAGCGTTACCTTAACCTCGCCGCTTGTTTTAACTCGTTCATGGGGGAAATTACTAGAAAGCTAGTGGCGGATTAAACATCCGTCAATTTCTACAACACACTGGCGTATAAAGTTTAGGTACATCCGGTTTCAGAATAAGGGGGTTAATTGTACTGTCACGTTTCCGGTCTTCAAATTAAAAGCTTGAATGATTTAGGAAAGCGAAGACTTGGTGGATTTAGGTAAAAATAAATTTGACAATTTTTGTTGTGTGTTAAAGGTCATTAAAATAGTTTTCTTATTTAGAGTTTTTTAAATTTTATTTAGAAATGCCTATTAAAATATTTAGTCTATCAAAATCCTGAAATGTGTGTTAGGCCATGGTAATATGTTGGCAGTTTGGAATACATGTTTCTTGTTGTTTCATTTTGTAATTCACAATTTCAACTCTTTGTACACTGTTCACTGGATATGAAAAGTGAAGATCATGCTCATAAGTTTTTAAAACTTATGAATTCTGGCTTCAGGTTCATTCTTTAAGTGACTTTCTCAGGAGTTTATCAAAAGCTTCTGATTGTCTCATTCAGTATCTTTAATCTCTTTGGCGTCTTGGAAGGCAGGCATCCAGGCAAGAATTTTTACGAGTCCTTCATCCTCCCTAGGTTGAATCCTTGGGAAGTTGGTAAGCTTGTAATGATATCTGAATGACAAATAGCTGCTAATATTATGGTTCAGATTGTTCCAGGCATCTTGTCTGGCTTCATTATTATTTCTGTTAAAAGTGCCATCTCAAACCTGCTTTGCTGGGCCATATTTCTTCTGAGTTGTTCAGCTGGAGTGATTGCCCTTTGGTGGATGAGTGAGTTTAGCACCGATAAGTTTCATTTGATCACCATCAAGACAAATGACTCTCAGACAAAGAGCCTATTTCAAACCATGAGGTGCAAAGGAGTTTGTCAGAGCGAAAATGTCATGAGAATTTGTTTCAGAAGTTCTTTAACTCTTGATTTTTTTTTTTCTGTAGCATCACTTTCTTTTCAGTTCGCATCAATAAAGCAATGGAGTGGTGGTCAGACTTTTAACTCATTTAATTAGAAGCTGATTCAAAGACAGACTTTGTGAAATCAGTAAAATAGTCCATGGAGGTGACGGTTTCCCTGTGCCTTATTTAAACTCGCCTTCTATTGCTATATTGGGCACATTTTTTGTGTCAACTGACTCATATTGACTTGTCTTCTTATGTCAGAAATGTATGTATACATTTTAACTTTAACAAGGTAGTTCATTTTGTCTTACTTTCATTTCTTGAATGGGTCTTGTGAATGAGTCTTAGGCATGTTTGTCTCCAGCTGATCTCAGGGTTTTAGTTTGCTTGTTCATGGAGATCATCCTCTTCTTTTTTGGACCCCTGAAACCTAAAAACCTTCAACGTAAACATCATCTCTTTAGACTTTTGAGTGGGTTAAGTGTTTTAGGAACTATATTGTGTTATGTAATATAAGTTCACCTGGAAATGAGTCAGACTTTATTCTTTTGCTTCAATCTTTCCATAAATCAGAGGCAAGAGTGCTTTCAAAACCCTGCACACCTACTACACACCCTCAATGTGATTCAACAGAGCACGTTCAGTCACAGACTGATCACCCCGAGGTGCAGAACTGAACGTTACAGGAAGTCTAGTGGTTAGTGTGCCCAATACGAAGGCCACAGTCATCCAAGCTAGCGGCCCAAGTTCAAATCCAACCTGTGGCTCCTTTCCCACATGTTGTTCCCTATGCACACTCTCTCTCCATGATCTGTGGGTCTATCCACTGTCCTGTCTCTCAAATAAAGGCATACAAATCCCAAAAATAAAACTTAAAAAAAGCTGTTTAGTGCTTAGGCCATAGGTGGTGAAAATAGTCCTTCAAAAATCAATGCATGCTTTCTGCCCTTTGTTTATATTTGCTTCAAATGTCCTAGTCAGTGATGAACAAGTTGTCCTAAGGTAACTATTTGTGTCCTGTTTCCACAACATTTCATTGTGAACCTGTTGTCGTTTGTGATCAGCTGTTAAAGACAGTAGAATGACCGGAACTTGGTTTCCATGGAGACGTAAACAAAGGGCGAAGCGCGCGACCTGGCCGTGATTTCTTTTGAATACACGCTCTGTTCACTTGCGGTTTGGACGTTACTGTTGAATAAATGATAAGTTAAATTCAACTTGTGGAGTTCCTACATTTCCTCTAAACCCGGGATGGATTTGCACAGGCGCGTGTCCTCTGCGGGATACCGGTTACCGGAACGGAACCAAAGCACCAGCAGGCCCTTATCATCCCAGCCAGCAGCGGACAGGACGCGCCGAGCCCACGGACACACGGTGTCCACTGAGCAGACCTCAGACAGGAGTGATCCCGTGAAACAGGACCGAGTGTGGAGAGAAGTGGTGGTGGGTGAGAGGAGAGGAGTCCGGGAATGGTGAGAAGAAGCTAGAGCAGGGAATGTTCCCACAATATTAACCAACAAGTTCTGACCATGTTAAAAAGAAAAACATTTTCATGCAGGCCTAACATCCAAAGAACAATTTAAGGATGTTTATAGTTTCAAATAATAGTCCTAAAATATTAACAAAGGAAGAATATTTTAAAAACATCATTCAGAGGATGTTTTGGGGAAGCCAGGTGACCCAGAAAGCTCTGCTCTAAAACATTCCTAAAATGTTACATGATACCAACATGATAACAAAGGAAGAACTTTGTCAAAGCAACATTTTGAAAATGTTTAGAGAACATTATCTTACAATTATCATCCTTTGTCCATCCATCCTTTGAAAGCAAAGACAATCTTGTCCAGCTCTGACCGTCCTCTCTTGGAGGGATTTGTTCTTCTCCCCTCTGGTTGAAGTTACAGGCTGCCCAGGGCCGAGAGCAACAGATACAAACTTTTGTGTATTCCTAGTGAAATGAATGCTATTTATACTGTTTAAATCCTGACTTCAATCAGCACTATAGCACTTTATTTATGATGCTACCATTCAAGTGTCATTTTTAATGAGCAGTGACATTTTCTTTTTCTTGGTTGTATTCGATCAAGTTGTGTTGCATTGTCCTATGTCTTTTTATATATTGTGTTTTTGTCCATTGATGTAAATCAAATTTCCCTTCAAGGTCTGAACTGGAATGAACTGGACTGAACTGTCTGGGACTTAAAGAAAACTTCCCACTGAAAACATTACCAGAACATTCTTTTTTAGAACAAGACACTCCTAGTCTCGCGAAGTCAAGATTTTCTTTCTATCTTGCAGTTGACAAACTTTAAGTTTTAATAAACCAGTTGATGAAAATGTATGCCTAGCTATATATCACTAAAGCAATTTATGACTGAATTATGTTCCACAGGGAGACGAACTGGGGCTTTTTGACAGAATATGATCAGATGGTAAGACTCCGTACACTCTACAGATTTTGATATTCAAGTGCATTTTAGAACTACGCCTCTTATTTAAAAACAGTCTTAATCTCTATATTCAGTGAACTTTTTAATATTTCACTGAGATACTTTGAGTCAATAACACTAAAATGTGCACTGAAAACACAACAATCAGGTCATTTGTTTAGCAATATTTTACTTTTTGATAAAAGAGCACTGATGTGCTTTTTGGAGATTTATAATGTTAAATTTAAGTTTAATTATACTTTTAATGAGTGCATTCCTGAGGATACTTTGTAAATGTATTTCAGCATGAATAGATGGCTAAGTAATTATTGATGTAAAAATCATTTTATGTGGTAAGTGGTTACAGGATCAGTAAGAATTATTCATCCTTCATGTTTTAATGGAATCCTGATCGCTAAGCAGTTTGACGGCTAACATCAGAAGTTACCCCCTGTATATTTTCAGGGTCATCCGAAGTCACCAGAGCCTTTACCCAGCAACGTGTCCCTCTTCTCAGACAGTGTCCCCAACACCACCAACCAGATGTTTGGCAGCAGACTGTCCACTCCACTGGGGCGTGAACTTGTCAGGCTGGACAGGCGGCTTCTCTGGTCTGGAAGCTGTTGCAAGCGCAAGCTGGATCCGGAGATGCTGCCCTGCTAGTCTTTTCATTTTAATTGACAGTGAATAATGATAATAATAAAAATTAAAAAAAAACTTTAAAGCCATATTAGTAAAGGAATGAAAATTATTGTTTACATCATTTGATAGTTACAGATATGTAATCATACATTTTTCATGCTGAAGTCAGAACATAGATGAATTCCTTGGTTTGGGTATGATACATGCAACAAGAAAAAGTCTTTATACTAAAGGTATTCACTCACAGATTAAGAGGGGAGTAGACGGACGGACACCAGCAGATCAAATTCATGTCATTCGAGCTCCATCAGGTATCTAACCAGATACTCCACAGACATACACCTGATCAAATTTACATGAGTAAATGTATCCCCACTACTCGCACACTGCAATAGTGCTGCAGGGACAAACACATAATAAACCATATCATACAGTTAAAAACACATTTATTATTAGGATTTACATTATTAGAATCTTTTGTACTGATACAAAATCTAATCAAGGGGTTAAATAGATTGTGTTTTCTAAATGCATGATTGGAGCTGTTCATATTGTAATGCAACTACTGAAACCTCTTAGCCAATTTGACACAATGAAGCCATGAATGAACTTTGAATAAGTTTGTGGAATTTTGGAAAAATGTACTCTAAACGAGCAGCAGGATATTTAAGTTTTTTGTACCTTTGTAGCTGCCATAAAATGCACATGTTTTTGTGAAGTTCTTGTTGGTCACTGCCCCTTGTCTAAATTTTAATTGAAATATTTGTCCCTATACTAAATTTAAAAAAATCCATCAGCTGGTTGTATGATGTGGAAGTTGCTAAAATGTAAAAAAAAGAAAAAGTATGTCGTTGAAATAAAGATTTTGAATTTTAAAATCTTGGTGCACTGAACTTCTTTGCTTATGATTCTTGTTTGTTTAAATAATGACTGTATATTATTTATTTATTTCAGTTTCAGAAGCTTAAAGAGTACCAAATGGAGGGTTTGCTAATTTGAGTTAAGGTTTTAAAATATCCATCATGACATGGTATCCTCATGATGCAGTATTGAGAATGGTTAAATGGATTTAAATTTAAAGCTTCTGTGAGTAGATCTTAGCATCAAGGTTATAAATATATAGTTATTATTCTATAAAGCTATTTTAATGCTTAAAACTGCTGCCGTGGGGTAGGTGAGAAACAAAGTGGTTCACAGCATACTATGGAAATAGAGGGTTTTTTTTAACCTTTCCACAGCAAAGTTTCACAGTGAGTTATACAACTGATTGTTACAAGACAGCAGGAACCTATGCCTGTACATGACAAGATCAGTAAAGAGGGCCAATGTACAAATTGGACCACAAGGGGTGCCAAAATCTATACATACTGGAAGTACCCTGCAGGAGCTCATATTTTTAGTTTTTTAAATAAATCAAAGCTGGGCAAACCTGAGGAAGCTACAGATGAAATGTGTTGTTCACTCACAATAAAATACAGTTATTTTCAGTGTTTTCATTTATTTCTCATGGTATGTTCCTACAACAGTGCGCACCTGACAACGTGTTTGTGCACCCGGTATACTACGAAAGAGGATTAGGGCCATTTTTTTTAAATTCTGACTTTAATCTCAGAATTCTGAGGAAAAAAGTGAGAATTAAAAAAAAAAATCAGAACCAACATTTTTTCTTTTTAGTGGCCCTAATCCTCTTCCGTAGTATACCCTGTTCGCCATTTATATATATTTTATTTGAATGGAGTTGGGAGGGAATCAGTTCAGCTTATTATAACTCATAATCATGGTATGATATAGTGTATGGTATCAGTGTGATTTGGAGAAGGCTATTTTAATTACAAACATTAGGCTACATGTAACATGAATCTGCATGGAGGACTGGGAGGACTGGGAGGACTGGGAGGACTGGGCCGTGTAGAGTGAGCAATGGTTCTGTTTTTGCAGCCTTTTCTTTTTGTGTCTTGTTTAGGTTGTTCCGTTTTTGTTCTCATGCCTGTATAATTTTTTAATACAATACTAATGCCACCTTTCGAGTCCAACGTCAAAAAAAGAGAAACAGTAGGAGGAAACCAACATGTTTGAGGTAAGAATTTCAAATGCTTCGCCCTCATTGATGGGCCCCAGAAGCCAATCAGCTTTTAGTGGATGTATGCGGAAGTGAGAATATTTGCCGGCTGAGAGTCAAACCGCCAAGCTCACAAAATAACAAAGGAAAGTTCGATTTCAAAACAAATGTGTACATCTTTGCTTTTCCTTTGTGTAATCAGTATATTTATCCTTAACCATAAACCTCAGATTCAGCATATCTTCAAAAGGAAGCTCCAATCATAGATTAAATATATTAACAACTGAAGCACACTTGGGTAAAATAAATAAAGTTAAAGTTTCTCTTACTTTGAAAGTTCACAACGGAAGTAACTTCTAAAATCCCCACTTTGTCAAAGGGACGGGTCAGGTCAGCAGCAGCAGCATCTGGCCGCTACTTTTATGTTTAGATTACTTTGAGTTTGTCCATAAACAATGCAGTCCGACACTTTGTTGCACGTCGCTAATTTCAGCACTCTGTTCGTGTGCATGGTGCTCAAGTTCCCACAGATATTTGTTCTTATGAGAGCCAAATCAACAACTGGAGTCAGCCTCAACAGTCTTCTTCTCGAGTTGACCGGGTATGTAGTGTTTTTATTTCACCTACGTGCTATCTTTGTTTTAATTGTGAAGAGTGCAGATTGTGAGAAGGTGAACAGTGAATCACTTTCTTTTATCGTTTTCTGATGTGACCTCATGTCAGTCTTCCTGTACCTCACCACACCTCCAAACCTTCACATAGTTTGGGTTATTGGTAATTACACACTGCGTTTTGAAACATACCGAGTCCCTGATGTATAATGCTCAATTCGGCTTTAATATAAATAAGCACTTACCTTTATTCTTCATAAAGCGATGTACATCTTATCTTTAACCCGTGCTCCCTCACTGTTTGCCTTTAGTGGGGCAATGATGAGAAGTGCACATTTATACAGAGTGATTTATTTGGGGCCAGTAGAGGATTAGGAGCTAGTTTCTCTCAGAGATTAAGTGTAAAATAGGACACAGCTGCTCCCTCATGAAAAATATTACAAAATAAAACAATCCCTGTGTTTCAGAATGAAACTAAACTATTGTATTTTTGGTACAGAGTTGAGAATTATGAATGTGTGATATCTGTTAACATTTCATCTTAAAACTCTAAATACATCTGCCATCATATTTAAATCCAGTAGCCTATAAACCAGTAGTAAAACCAGTAGACTATAAACCAGTAGTAAAACCAGTAGCCTATAAACCAGTAGTAAAACCAGTAGCCTACACCTTGTCGGGCTTGCCTAACAATGTTCTTCCTTCTTTGTAGGTTTTACAAAACAGAACATTTAGTGTGGGACTGAGCTGCTCTGTGTCTGTAAGGCTGTGTGGTTCCTCATGTCTCTCCTCTGTGCCTGGCAGTATCTGCATGTTTCTAAATGTCTCCACTGTGTTGGTGAGCAGAAGCTGTCACCGTGCATGCTGCAGGCCCATTCTTAAAGCTGCACCGGGTCAAATGACAAAAGTAGTTTTATAGATATTACACTGGAATGAATTCAAAAGGACATATCTATTAATGAATCTTTGATGTTGCCAGCTTGTCACATGAGGGGTTTATCATCGACCTCATATCAGAGTGTCCAGTAGTTTTGATTTATCTGTAACATGTGATCTCTTCAACAGTGGCTGAAATAAACAACTTTTAATAAATTACTTCCACGCTGTCTGAGATCAAAAACCAGCCGAACATGACCAATCCTATCTGCCTGTAAAAATATGTTTTTGTACTCTGTGCATCTGGTGATGTAACAAATCACGGTTCAGACAGAACTTGACAAAGTGATTTAATGTTCCTTGTAGGTGTAGGTGTCAAATCTGTCTCCTCAGCTGCAGTCAAAGGGAGAGATAATGTTCCCTTCTTCTTTCAGCCCAGGAGATTTCAAAGAAATTAAAATGCTGCCTCTGCCAGCCATTAAACACCAGAATATCTCATAACTTAATTTAATACTTTACAGTCCATAATGCCCTGTGCAGCTTTAACGTGATCTGGTTAGGATGGTTTATCGTCATGACAACTCCACCTTGAGTAAGTTTGTGTGCCATCACCTGCCTGTACATAGAAAACCTGTACACAGCTTTAATCATCCATCTGCATGTTAGCTTGATGAACAGATGATGATCATAAAACATTGTGATATGTTCAGGGTGATGTGGTATAAATACATAAAAAACTCTTCTCAATACATTAGACTTTTCTTAGTACATCATGTGTTAGCTCTGTTATCATTGCATTGATTTTATTCTTAACATTCCTGTATATCACAGTAACCTTCATAAAACCTCCTGTTTTACAGGTTCATTGTTTTTGTAACTTATCAGATGTACTATGACTACCCACCTCCTACATACCTGGAATATCCCATTCTCATTGCTCAAGGTGAGTTGTATTTACTTAAGACACATACATTTTAGGATCAACCAGAATACAATAATGTGAAGAGCCATTCAAAACAGGATTTATTCATTTCAGGGTCTAAAAATAGTTTTTTAAGATGTGCATTTACCATTTTGCCAGTGAAGGTGGCAAAATATTGGCTGTATATGAGAAGTGAAAATAACACTTTGGTTTTAAAAGTGAGTCCAATAGGAAAGTGCCTTAAACCTGCATTATTTTTCCCGGCCAGCAGGGGGCAACTCAACTGGTTGCATGAAGATGTCCAACTGTATTAGCCAAGATGAACAAAATAACAACGCTTCTTCATTGATGATTTTTTACTCAGTAAAAATGTTCCTCATGAGTCTTAACTGCCATTATTTTTGCTCATTTCATAAATTATTGCCAAATTTAGAGTAATACACATAGCATACTGTGTGTGGCCCTACCTTGTGTTACAGACATAGGAAAAGGTGTCAAAATATGAGATGAGATGAGATGAGATTCAACTTTATTGTCATTACACATATACAAGTATAGAGTAACGAAATGAGGTTTGGCATCTCACCAGAAGTGCAATAAGCAGAAAGTGCAAGAGTCTGTGCTATGTACAGTAATTACAAAATTTACAGATGTAGACTAAAAAAAGTGAATTATTAGGTATATCTGGATGGCTGGATTAATGGGATGCTATAAATATAAATAAATGCTATAAATATAAGTGTATTTTTAGGATTATAATATACAGATTAAGATGCAGTGAGCATGCTATACTAATAATATACAGATTAAGGTGCAGTGAGCATGCTATACTAATAATATACAGATTAAGGTGCAGTGAGCATGCTTTACTAATAATATACAGATTAAGATGCAGTGAGCATGCTTTACTAATAATATACAGATTAAGGTGCAGTGAGCATGCTATACTAATAATATACAGATTAAGATGCAGTGAGCATGCTTTACTAATAATATACAGATTAAGATGCAGTGAGCATGCTATACTAGTTTACAGATAATATAAAGAATATGGACATAATATGTACGTACTATAATACAATAATACAGGTGGATGAGAGATGTGTGTGTGTGACCAGGAGGAGTGGTGAGGGGATGATGGGTGTGAGGTGATATGCAGGGGAAAGGGGGGTCAGCAGGGGGCGGAGAGAGAGAGGGAGAGAGAGAGAGAGACAGAGTTCAGAGTTCGGGGGGTAGAGTTCAGTAGAGAAACAGCTCTGGGGAAAAAGCTGTTCCTCAGTCTGCTGGTTCTGGTCCGGAATCTGAAAATATGATTCAGATTCAGATATTTTATTGTCCCACAAGGGGAAATTTGCGTTGCAACAACAAATTTGGTATTTGATATTTCCTGGCTCAAAGTAACAAGACTGCGACAGCTAACATGCAAAGGCTTAGGCTTGAAATCGGCTGTCACAAGACAGTGGATGATGTCACGGTGGCTTCAGTCTGTGGCCATAACTCATCATGTGAGAGAAAAGCTGAACCTCGATATGAGAAATGTATGGTTTAATGTCATTATGACAGAGGTCTGACAGAAAACCAATAAACCATCCACAGTATCTCTGATGGAAACAGATGACCTGACATGGGTCTCCACTGAGAGGGGCATTTAGTCATCTATGCCCTTTCATTGGTTCTCCATCAATAACCTCCAAATGTATCAACAACAGACCTTCATACTTTCTACTGGACTTTAGTTTCCAGACCAACATGTGACCATGCTGACAGCTCAGTAACGGACAAAAACAATTATAACTTCTTAAAGGTAGAAAACTCCTAATGGATATGTGTTTGAGTTCTGTAAAAGCAGAACTATCAGCTTCTGTTTGAGATAAAGTCTTTCTATGTGATTTATCACACTTAAATATAATATAAATCAAGTATCTCCTCTGAAAATAACTCTGTGAGTCATGACTGTCTACAATGGGTGTAACACCCGAGTCCCACTGTCTGTGATGTTTTCAGAGTCCTATCTTCACTTTGTTTACATCGTCAGGACGGCCGGCTGACTCCTCCCCTCGTGTATAAAAGTTGTTTAATTGAGGGACTAGAGAAAAGAAGAATAACATACTGTACTCACTGCTTAACTGTGTTTCTAGATCACGCTCATTTCAGGTAAATTTACATGCAGTGTGAAGATACCAGCATAATAAAGATCGCTAGCATTAGCATGCTAACACAACAATGCAGCACAAGTTGTTTTTGTTTCATGCTGGTGCTCAAGGGCGACATCTGCTGGATCAAAAAATCACATATAAATGAGACAGTAGTTATAGCTGTGCCTCTTGGATTGAAAATCAGTCCTCTCGTCGCTTGCAGCTCATTGATCAGGTGTGATTTATATTCTGCCATGTGTCCTCAGATGTCATTCTCCTGCTGCTGATCCTTCACTACAACGGCAGCCTGCGGCAGAGCCTCGTCTACACCTTGGTGTATCCTTTCATCACTTTCAGTTCACCCTGCATGTGGAAGTGTTCCTTCAGAGCTGAAGAGAAGCAACGACCCATTGCACTTTAGTAGATGCCTTTTCATGCAGTGTCACTTATTTGTTGCCTTAACAGAATGTGTTCAGGTTTGTCGGAGGTTGGAGACTCCTCACTGTGGACAAGTGGATCATAGATTTGGCCATGGTAAAAAAAAAAAAATAGTTAAACTCAGTGAGTCGTGAATGAAAAAGGTGGCATGTCATCAGTCAAGTGAAATGAGTTTTAGACTTGAATGTAAAAGCTGTCCAGACCTCATTGCACCTCATGTACCTGAGGAAGTCACTCAGACCTTAGATGTGTCAAATAGGTTTCTTGGTTGATGGACTGAATGTGTCTGAAGGCCTTTTTGCATATAAAAAGGTGCAAGCTGCTTTTCCTTTTAGAGGTAAAGTTTTGCAGGCCACATAAAGGGTTAGAAACTTTTCCTTTTTTGAAAGGTTTATTCTGGGGCTTTCTATAGCTACATTTTAGAGATAGAAGAGTGGAAATCGGGGACAGAGAGAATGGGGAGTGCGGGAAAGAAGCCACAGGTCAGATTCAAACCCGGGCCATCCGCTTGGAGGACTATAGCCTCTGTACATGGGATGCGCAACCCAAACTTCCTTTTTAAAATAAAGCTGAATTATAGTTTATGATTTTATATGAACATGCAGAAACCCTATAGACTAAATCTGTTTCCATGGATTTTCTTCTCAGAGTCTGTGCACATTCATCAGTGCAGCCAGTAAACTGACACAGCTGCAATGCCTGTGGAGGTCAAAGGACGCTGGACAGGTCAGCGCCCTCTCCTGGGCCTTGGCTACCTACACTTGTGCGGGTAAGTGCACGTACAGTAGTCGTCTATATGTCTCATTCTTACCAGTTTCTTCATGTTCTTTATCTAAACAGAAACGTCATGTAATCCTATGACCGTGTTGTATTTCTCAACTCATGGTGTCTCAGCTGCCTTTTACTCATAACTTAAATCTTAATGTGAAAATGCACGAGGGACACAAAAAGCTGACTAACTGCTGCTGTTTGCTGGTGGGTGTGTGGCATACAGAGGGTTTCTACATCTAACCCAGGAAAGTGCTGAATACAAGGATAATAACAGAAACTGCAGCTTCAAAGAACTCTCAGGCAGGAAGAAGCTTAAAAGCTACTGAGACGAGGCACATACAAAGTGTGTGAGTGATAAATCTGTTCGGTCTAAGACACCTTTGAAGTGTCCTTATCCACATTTAAACAGTAAGTAAGTGGTATCAGTTTGTAAAGCGAGCTTTAGTTAGAAAGTGGCAGGTCTGGAATATGTCTGTTTCATGTCAGGACCCTAAGACCTTTAATGGTGGAAAAAAAAAGAACTCATACCAAATACAAAGAGTATTCTTTAACAGTATCTCTTTTTATAGCTTAGCAATAACTTTTTACTGGGTTTTTTTTTTCAATCTATGACTATTCATTAAACATATGTGTATTTCAGTCTTTTTACTTTTTTCACACTTTCTCTGAACTTTTTTATGTTGTGTTCATGTGTACATGTACTGTATTTTCATATCTGCATGTGCACATGTTTATTTTTTTTACCTGTGTGTACATGTACTTAGACATTTGATGTCTGGTTTGTGTGAACGATGTATGCATTCTGCAGATATTGTGTATTTCTTATCTGCACGCACAGTATTTTTTGTTTGTGTCTGTGTGAAGCACTTTGAGTGACTTGTGTTAATCAGTGTAGTGATACAACAGAAAACTCAAAGTACTTGGTCTTTTTCGATTCTCTGATTTTTTTGAAATTTTCAAAGGGGTGAAAACAATCTGATCTCTGCTTTTCAAATGAATGTTAGTATCCTCTTATCTGTCAAACCCTCATGCTTTGCACTCTTCTTAACATTGGGAATGTTTAACCAATCTGTCCTCCCTAAAGTATTGTTACTTTCAGCTCATGAATATCTTGCTATTTACTCTACTCCTAATTTAATACATGAGGAATAATGCTTCATTCATAAAATATGAGATGCTCTGTTGGATAATGAGGATGTCATTAACGCAGCTTTCTCTTTGTTTCAGTGCGGATTTACACCACCACAGTAACGACTGGAGACATGCAGGGTGAGTCGCACACAATTCCAAATCCAATTGTCAAACTGATCCCAATGATCCTATGTTCCAAATTTTGTTTTTGAAAAATTTGGCTTGGAAATCAAATTTAGAAATATCTTTGTAGAGTTTTTATGCCTATAAGGAACACATGTTCCATAAAATAAAATATAATAGAAGCAGTTATCTTAGTGTCTTAGTTTATCAAAATAAAAATTCATTTTCCATTTTCAAAGCCGCCAACACGTCCTACATAAGATCAAGACTTAAGGGACGCAGACCATTTGTCTTGTAGACATTATAAAACTTTGTTATTGATCTGCAAGTTCTGTGTTTGTTTGAAATGTATCATTGCATTTATCCTTTTTTCTTTTCTTCATGGTTGTTCTGTGTGTACTTGTAATTTTCTACAGCAGTCAGGGAGCTAAAAACACTTCAGATCCAATAAAATGGTGATAACGTCATGAGCTCAGACACTTTGTGAAGTGTCTCAAGATAACACTTTAATTGACACACTATACAAATAAAGATTTATTGATTTTGTATACCTTGGTAGTTGTTCTGTTTGTTTACGGCTGATTTGGATGTCCTTGTAGCTATCTTACATAAACGTGTTATCATATGCATCTCCTCCTAGTTATTTCATATGTATACTTGTGTTCTATTAGCATCTCTTTATATGTCATACATATTTTCTTAGTCCATTTTCATGTCTTGGTAGATCTGATAATAGTCATAGTATGTGGTTAATGCATGATAACAGGTCCAAATATGTGCTTTTGTGTTTTCTTTTTTCAAGTGAAGAAGCTACAGTTTGTGCAGATGAGAAAAATCAATAAATTGATGTAGATGATTAAACTGTTAACAAACAGAAACCTCAAGGGGACATTCACTGAAGTCCTCTTAACGCTCAAATCGTCAAGTCATCAGTTTGTGAAGTCAATAACTGCATCTTTATATCAGAATGTGAATTACTGTTTATCTAGTATCTAATAAAGTCTCTCTTCTGTCTCAGTTCTGGTGCGGTTCATCGCCATGACGTTGCTCAACCTGTGGGTGCTGCTCACCGTGCTCTACTACCAGAGGAACAGCAGCAGGACCAAGAAAGATGAATAAGCCTGAAGGTCGGATCATGACGCCGACCGACTGCTGTGTCTTCCAGCTTCAATCGCCAGAGAGATAACTCGGTTTACTCTCGATCAAACAAAAACGATGAACAAGAACGGTTGTGTGAGCAGCTTTTGTTTTATGACCCATAAAATGTGCTTTTTATAATGTTTTTACCTCAGTGTTAAACCCACAGATTTCCATCTATTTTATAACATTCCAGTGCGTAGAAATCTGTCTCTTTCATACTGTGTGAGAAACTGTAGTTTATGAGAAAGCCAGCACAAGCCAATGTTCCTCCTCAGGATGAGAAATACTGTATTTGAAAAGATTTTTATAAGTGTAAAGTTCTTTTGTGAATTATTTTAATAAAGCAAACATTCTACCTTCAAACAGCGTGATAGGTTCATTAAAAAAAAATCAGCCAGAAACTGTTGCACCTTTACAGAAGAAGATCCAAACACTTCAATTAAAAGAGCGAACAGAAACCCTCCAAAAGCAAAAAGGCACATCCACGTCTTTATTGTTGAAGTAGTTATAATCATAGAGCTGTTTGGTAGCAAACATGCAATCTGGATGTAAAGCCCTTAAATACAAAGTGGACAAGGCTGTATAAATAATATAATGTGCACTGTATGGCATGTAAAATATATACTGTGTATATTATATGTATAAAACATGCTTCTTGGTTAAAGGAGAGCACTCAGTACACACACACTTACAAACACAGACACACACACACACGTTCACACAGTTACTCTCCTCCTGCTATATGAGCCTCATACACACAACCATGTGCCCAAACGCAGTCTGGTTCCTTTTTAATACAAAAATATCAGGACAAACACTTTTAGAAAAAACGCTCAATGGAATAGTGCTGCTCAGTATATTGATTTATGGGCTATGATTGCATACCTTCATCGTCTCTGCTTCTTCTTCTTGGTTCAATTGCCCTCATTTCATCGTCAGGAATGACTCAAACTTGGAAAAGGGAGAGGACCCTAACAGCTAACAGCACTGAAGTGTGAGGCCTGAAAAGGCAAACACATGCAAGCTCACTCAGAGTAAATTGGTGATTTAAAGGGGGGCTTCAGTCAAGTATATTTGGATAGAATAATACAATGCCTGTGTGTCGTCTCTGGTAAAGCCCAGATGTACATTCAAACAAACAAAAAGGAGCAGAGCTCGGATCAGAAAAGCATTAACGGTGCACCCCTTGAATTCAGTAAACATTAACCCTCGTATCTGACAGTGCAGGTTTGAAAGATCATGGGATTTGGGGGGGGATCTCATGTCATCTAATACCGTTCAGAGCAGAGTTCTGTTCACTTGTAAAAACCATTTTTATTCTGCATACGACGGTGAACCGATGATTCAGAGCGTGCCTGAGTCAGAAATCTGAATAAGAGGCACTGGAGGCTTTATTTGCTCAAATCCTGGAGGAACCTGACACTCTTCCACTGCCCTGCTGACTTTTCCCGAGAATTCGCAGCTCGTTTCGCTTCAGTACCTAAATTCAGGTTTCTGTGACCCATGTAGTTGCACATCTGAAAGCAGAAGTTTCCTAAGCAAGAAGCTACAATCAATACGTTTAAAAGTCTGGGTAAGTTTCAGATATCAACATCAGCTGCATTCAGCTAAAAGCTCAAACAAATGTACTATCTTTGAATGTAGTGTTCCCCTAATAAACTCTTCATACTGGTCACAAGTATTAAAACACACAAAATGTCTTTGTTTATTTGGCCACAAGAATCCCCCCAAAGTGTGAGGAAGAGTGTTCATGTTGGGTCCTTCAGTCAGAGTCTTGGTGAGAAGTGTTGAGGTAAGTGTATCCCCTTCATGCCAGCCCTGGTCGGGTTCATAAGAGCTCTTCCTCTTCTGCTCCGTGCAAGTGGGGAATGAGCTACTCCAGATCCACAGAGACACATAATTGCTTTAGTCAAGGGCCCAAGAGAAGACTCGGGCTAATAAGCTTACAAGTCATCCAGCTGGTTGAAGATACTGCAGGTGAGTTTGATAGATGGGAGGGGAGGTCGACTGAAGGGGATATAAACACATTTTGTAACTCTCACAGACTGCAGCACGACAGGGTGGGTGGGGGGTTGTGTGGAGGAAAGCAATGTGGAGTTCAGTGTGCTGATCTGCAAACAGAGCTTTGTATACTGTCTTTGAATGAGGAGGAAACATCCCCCCGACAATCAACGCCTCCTCGACGATGCACCACACTCCCCAGCAAGGTTAACTGGGAAAAGAAAACAGATGAAAAGTGTTAGTTTTATACCTGAGCTATGCCCAGAGAAATACATAACATCAAGGCTTCAGGGGATTTCACTAAATGCTACCCAGAGAATCCTGCAAAAATCACTTGTACCTACTTATTCCACAACATGACCTTCATCAAGAAAAGTTCATCCATGACTCTACCTGCCCACCTTTATAACTAATGAACTGTTTGGAACCTTTTTTAAATAATATTAGCTAGTAGTATTTTTTTTCATAGAAAATTTATTAAATATACGGTTGGATTGGCTTATTAGTAGGGCCTGACCGATATGGATTAAAGGAGCCGATACAGATATCGATATTGGGGCGATATTGGAGATATGATATATCGCCCGATATTTTTATTAGATCTATGTTCCATCTGTAGAGATAGATAGATATGGACATACACACACATTTCTGTGTGTGTAAATCCATCCTGGAGCAGTCCTCTCTTGTACTCTCTCTCTCTCTCTCTCTCTCACTGTCTCTCTCTACCTGCCTAATATAATAATAAGCTTGTCTGTTCTCCGGTGGACAACCAACCCAATAAACACCGTCACTAAATTACAGCAATTATGTCTCTGAGTGCTGCAACTATTATGAGGTTTTGTATGAGGCAACTTTTATAAACAAAAACAACAAGACAAAAGTTGTTTAACACAAATCTGCATGAAATAATTACACATTTCTCCAAAAGACATCATGTAAAACCAATAAAAGCTCCTGTGAGGAAATTTAAGCAAGTTTTGAAACAGACTGAAAATAATTCTGATGCCTTTATTTGACTGACAAAGGCAAACAAGACCATCAGTGAGAAGATTGACTCTTCCTATAGAACGATTTTTAATGCCTGAATCTGCTGCTGGCGGGTAGGTGACAGACAGTCATCACTGCACTCTGCTAAAACAGCCAATGATGACATTTCTGACAGTTAATGTTGACTGTTAAAAGACAGAAGGAGGAGTAGTTTTCATCCCAACACACTACTTGCACATCTACAGGACAAGATCAGCAAAGAAATAAGATTTACTGCTTGCCTCACACGGGGCACCACAATTAACTCATCCTCACAGGAGCTTTAAGTGAGCAAACTTTCTATTCTTATCCATGACATATTGTATCTGCTTTCATTTAAAAACACCCAGTGGTGAAGTGATCCAAGCTTTTAAATGAGCCACCATATGTTTCCCCAAACAAACGCATGCACCTGGAGCATCACAAGTGATCACCGCTATCACCACAGACTGACAACCAGGACTGTGTCTGAGCATTTTGTAAACAAACGGAAAAAAAGACATTCAGGGTTTGGGTTGTTTGCAAGGAAACAAGGAAGAAAAAGGTGGGAGGAGTCATCATTTGTACCAGTTTGCACTGTGGGATTCTTCTCGCCTCATTTTGAAGCCATTTGACCTGCGAGGGCTGAGGCAAGAAGTCATTAGGTCACGATGGGTGAGACATGTTTAAACAAGTTAAAAGGGGGATGTTATGAAAGAACGGCACCTTTAGAAAGTTAAAGCTAATATAGCCACTTTCAAAACAACATTATGGATGACATGTTATTACGGCAGCAGAGGTTTTAGCACTTCTCAGTTTTGATCCCAAGAGTCCTCTTAGAGCAAATTAAGATTCTAACTGTATAAACTGGTGGCTCGTGGAAACCCTGTTCCACTGCCACTGAAACCACAGCACTACACAGCACACACGACACTCAGTGTTACCATACAAGCTCATCAGAAATTAATAGAGGAACAATCATCATCGATATCATCCAACACCCAGTGCCAGTCCTGAAGACTGAAGTCCTCCAATCTGAAAGGGGAGATTTGTTTGGATGTGTGGCAAATGCACAAAACCTGGTATCCATTAAGTCGATTCTCCTGAGGTATGGGATGATCTAATGCTCTCCTGATTAAAGAGCCGAGGCGTTATGTAAGGGGAGCTAAACAAGAAAACAGGCTCTCATCTTCTGCAGGCTAATCATGTATTCAGAGGGAAAAGCTCCACAGCTGCTCACGCTCTTATACCTCAAAAACCCCCTCAGTGAAGCTGAGGCGAATTTGAGATCAAAACAGGATTATTTCTACTCTAGGAGAAGGACTCCAGCGCATAAACACAGTGATCTTTCTGTGGATTTAACACCCAAAAGGTTTTACACGGGTTGAGGATAGCAATATCAACATTGCTCGTGTAAGGATTTGTTCATTTGCAGCTGATTTTTAGCTTGAAGCTACATTTACATATATTGGAATTTGACAAATTTCAGGCCAAAAGATACCAAAAATTCAGGTAAAATATGTTTTGTTTGATCCCACCATGTTAGAAACCTGTGAAGCAACTCACTACTACAACACTTCACATGCTTATCATGGGAACAAATTTTTTATTCATTTAATTAAATTCCTACAATGCTCCTATAGGAGTTCCACACTTCACTTAAAAAGCTTGATATGCTATAGCAGTATAACTAGCATCAGAATAGTCCTGTAGTACAGAAATCTTTGACAAATATTTAAAAATGTGAGTGCATAATGATGATTCAAAAAAATGCATTAGCTGCATCAGCTTTCGTCTGTATGCAGATGGAACATTTAAAAACATATTCAGGTCTGATGTCGTGGTCGCTGTGCTACCTGCTCTTGCTGGTGGGTAGCTGTCGACTGGGCCTCCTCATGGACTGGCTTGGCTGCACCTTCATGGAGGCTCGAGGCGAGGAGCGTGCAAAGAGCTCTGGCGGCGGAGGCTTCTTGGGGATCTTCTTGACCAGTCGGCTCACCCACTTCTGCTGCTCCTCCTGAGATAGAGCCAGCAGCAGCAGGTTCTTGGCCGTGGAGACGTCGTAATTCACTGATGGTGGCAGAGACGTGCAGCTTTTAGTTCGGTTTACTAGCAACATTGTTATTGTTTTTTTTTTTTCCTCTCTTTTGCATCCTGAAGCTGCACTAAAAGGGGAGTCTGACTTATAGGTAAAAAAATGATTTTTCGCATTGCTCCAGTAGATTTCATTATACAAAAGGAAAACAGAAGGACAGTAGTGACTGCAACGTAATCTTTCAGGGCAAATGTGTCTGATCAGAATACATTGACTGTTAATGATAGTTTGCCTTTGACAGGGCAGACTGTTATTTTTAGTGTGATAGCATTACAGAAACACTGGCCATAAAGACCTTTTGGTTAAAGAGAGTAATGATTTTTCTGTAACCAGAAACAGCTGCTAAACAGCTGTCTTCAAAGTCAACTCTCTCCATTGAGAGAGAGCAGCGCTTTTGCCTGTCACAACATTGGAGCTACTGTCTGATGTCGACTCGACAGGTTAAGTTGGTCTTTTTGCAGGAGTTTGATGTTTTGTGGGTTGACTTAAATCCAACATAACACAAAAACAATAACAACTATATCAGTAATGCAGACTTAGAAGAGCTACTCACATGTTATCTGAGTTAAAATTACTGTTTTTATATAAACACTTATGGAAGTCAAAAGAGTGATTCTACTTATAGATTTTTCTGGTTAGATCTTACCTAAAGATGTAGACATTATTTGTCAAACAATGTTATAACAACTTGAGTAAAAAATGTTTTTGTGGTATTTGAGGATAATCCTGAAAGACTATGTTGCAGCCCTAACAGCCTACCTATAAGTTACTATACTCTTATGTTTGAAGAGGACACAGGTTATAAATACTTGCTTTCTTCTAAGCTACACTAACAAATCATTTAGTTTATATTTTAGTCCCTAGTTGAATACACATGAGCGTCCTACCCTTGCATGGAGCGATGATCTCCTCCTTCTTGTCCATGTGGTCTTTGTGGCACTTGATGTGGCAGCGCCGACACTCCAGAGCGGGCGGGGGCTTGAACATGTTCCACAGAGGCTTGGTGCACGCCTCACAGTTGGTGGGGAAATGGTAGAGGGTGGGGATGAACTCGTGGCCCTTGTGGCAAAAGTAGCTTGATTTCTCGCCTATGGCCAGCGCCTCAGGAAACTCGGCCTCCTTCTTGCACTCGCCTTCGTTGGCATAAAGAATCTAAAAAGGTGGTTAAGAGAATGATAATGGAGACCTGTGAGCGTGACACTCCATGAGCAAACATCATAAAATGACTAGACAAACCTGGAATATCCTGGGAATCTCTTTGGCGTCGGCGCGGTACACATCTGTTTGAGTAACAGGCCTCACATGGAACAGTTTGCTGTGTGAAGAAATAATAAAGTAAATGTTATCACAACAAGTCACCTGCATCTAAATTCAACCGGAAATGTCCAAAAGGAAACAATAAATAGATAAACAAAGTTAACTGATATGATACTATTACTCAGAGGTGGAAACTTACTCTATATCCAGCACCATGTAGGGAATGGACTGCTCTTTGTCCTGCTCGCTGTTGTAGAAGAGAATCTTCTTGCTGCTCACAACAACATACTAAAGCAGCCGAACAGACATGTTAGGGTTAATGTTCAACGAGGACAGACTCTGTTTAACATGATCACAGCAGCTTTATTATTTTATACCTTTTTCTCCCATCCAAACTTCTTGGTGTTGTTTCTCACAGGGAGAGAGAGCCAGCCCTCCAGCCGAGTTTCAGCTAGGGAGAAAGAGGGATACAAGATCAAGTATGTAAACATAATGCTATTCTGTCAGTGTTACCATGAAAAAAATGATGTCCAACCAACAAAATACAGAGTTGCTGCACTTTCTGAATAAAAAAAAAAAAAACCTGGTTTATTTCCACAGCAAATAAATGAAACCCACATTGATCCACATTCATTAACTGTGAATCCTCACAAACTGAACTCATCTAAAAGTTCCCCTACAATTCTCTTCAATACAATGCAATACTTAATTTGTTGTCACAGCCTTGCATAGTATATATAAGCACATAACACAGGAAGAAACACATAAAAAATGAAAGTGGCCAGGCAGCATGGAAGCTAATTTCGAGCTTCAATAGCCGAGGCAACAAAGCTCTTTTTTAAAGTGTGCCCTCTTCCAGGTCAGAATCCTGGATATCCGACCTGATGGCAGAAAGGAGACGAGTGGATTGAGTGAGTGGGTGGGAGGGGTCCCAGGCTATGGTGAGTGCTCAGTGAGTCAGGGCTTTGTAGTTGAGATGTGAGAGGTGTTCAGTGGACAGACCGATGATTTCTGAAACAATCTTTTTGATGGGTTGAGTTTATTTCAGTTCACATGGACAAACATCTTTTCCATAAAGAAGCTGACACAAAACAGTAAAAAGTTTAGCATCAAGCAGGGAGTTTGGGAATTCTTCCAAGGAAAAGAAAGAGAAAGAAAATGAAGAAAAGATGAGGAAATAAGAGATACATGAGAAATAAAAGAGGGCCGGCTTAACGTTTAACCCCAAATTATCATTTAACCTTAAAGTCACATTTCTTTATTTGCTCCTGTCTGAAGAAAGGACAAGATATAAGAGAATAACTGTATAACCCAGTGCTCATGTTAGGTTAACAGGAGAAAAAAAAAAACAGGGATGGCTTTACATTTAAAATAATCCAACCAACAGGGCACTAACCGCCTTCCTGCCTCTCAGGCAAACAAACCCAAATAAACTCAGTAGTAAGCACTTCATGGCTAGGAATACTTGAACCTGACAGCTGCTCTGAACGATTTGCTATTTGTAAACGTTGCTTGCTCTTACCTGTGAGGGCATCATCAGTATCAAACTCCGGCCCGCTGCCTCCGCTGGCCATGGAGTCCATGGACTGAACGCTGAGAGTCTGCAGGTGGTTCCTCAGCTGCTCGATGTCACTGTCCTTACTGTCCAGAGCCATCTGCAGCTCGATGCGCATCTGGCTCTCATCAGCCAGTTGCTACAAAAAACAACAAGAAACAAGGTCAATTGGGGAATGATTAAACAGGAAATCAGAGAGGAGTCAGACTGTGTGGCTTTTTCACTCACCGCCTGCATCTCGTTGATCTCTCTCTGGTATTTGATGATGGAGCTGTTGAGTTTCTCCTTCTCCGACCTCAGCTCCAACTGCAGCTTCCTGTTCTCCTTCTCCTTACGTCGCATGTCGGTGTCGTTACCACGGCGACTGCCTCCGCCGCGGACCTCCTTCCTGTTCATGATCTCTGCCAGCTTGTTGACGGCCTGTAGACAGATGCAGTTCAGGTTTTTTTTCAGCTCGTTATCAAGAGTTGCCAGGTTCATTACAGAGCCTCAGGATCTTACAAAGAAGAGTTGTGCTCGTTCTTTAAATTTCAAAAGCCTCACACATTTCTGTCTAAGAAAATGTATGACTTAAGGCTAGATTAATCTCAGTTTTTCACAAGTTTTATACCCACACACCTGAGTTTTCAGCGTCCTCTCTGACTGCAGCTGCTTCTCAAACACCTGCTTCATCTGGTTGATCTGCTGCTCCACGTCCTTCGACTTTTCTGATTCTTAGAAAAAATAAGAGACAACATTTGGTAAATGGTAAATGGACTTGAGCTTGTATAGTTCTTTTCTAATCTTCAAACTACACAAAGCGCTTTTACACTGCAGGTCACAGCTACTCATTCAAACACTGATGGTAGAGGCTGCTGAGTAAAGACACCATCAGAAGTAACTGATCCCATTCATGCACATTCATACGCCACTGACACAGCAGTGGGAGTAACTTTGGGTTCAGTGTCTTGCCCAAGGACACAACTGACATGTTGCTGCAGGAGCTGGGGATCGAACCCCTGACCTACTGGTTGAGAGACGACCGACTCTACCAACTGAGCCACAGTCGCATTTTAAACGTCAAACATGAAAATACATTTAAAGTATGAAGCTTCATGATCCTAAACAGTTTTATTACCTTCAGTTGCTTCCTTCAGTTTGTTGTTCAGCTCCTCCTTCTCATTGGCCAGGTTTGCGACGTCACTGGTCAGGGTTCTGTTGGCCTCCTCCAGCTGAATGAGGCAGGAAATACTTCACATTCACTATGTTGAAGGTAACTAATAGCACTCTTTAAATGGTCGGCCAGCTGTCCAATCAACAGCTGATTCTCTTACCAACACATCAGATCAAGTTGTTGCCTCCATACAGATCTTTTTCAGATCATATACATGTAACAAGACATTTACTGGACGGGCGACAGCCGATGGAACTCACAGAATTGATGGTGATGTCCTTGTCATTGAGCTCCTGACGATGACGGGCCATCATTTCCTTCAGTTCCAGCTCCTTCATTATCTTCTCCTTCTCCAGGTCTGAGTACTGCTCCTCAGCGATGGAGCGTGCCAGCTGCTCTGAGTCCGCCTTTGTCAGCGTGATCTCCAGTTGAGCTGCCAACGATTCCCTGAGAGGAAGAAAGGAAGAAATAAGAGGATTAAAAAAGCTACTAATGAAATAGAAATCATTCCCGTCATAAGAACAGTTTCTTCCCCCAGGCTGTCACTCTGATGAAGACTAAACAGTCACAGAGTGTCAGACCTGTTGCTGTGAAATGACTCTAAATCAACCATCACTGTGAATATACATATATGTATATATATATTATTTAATTTAAATTATCAATCTACACACACTTATTTATGTAAATACTGTAATTGAAATCTTAATTGACCCATCTGTCACATAACTGCATTTTACATATTATCATGTTACTTCAGCATCTTTTGCACTACTCACCACTGCACTGTTTCATATTTAGTCATGTAAATATTATAATAATAATAATAATAATAATTATATTCTTATTATGTTTATTGGTGATATTTAATGTTGTACCTGTATATAAGAGAGCACAGTTCACCAAAGTTAAATTCCTTGTGTGTGTAAGCATACCTGGACAATAAATCTGATTCTGAATTCAGGAAGGTAAATAAAGATAGCAGCTGTTGATGTTTCCTATATGTGCCAATATAAAAAATTCTCTAAAAACAAAATTATTAAAGGTAACAATGTTTGAGGTGAGAAATAAATAAATGGTATCATTCTAAACTGAAGTTTAAAATACTTAAAGTACTTTCTAACATCACATGCGTCACAGGTAAGTAGACATTGATTCCCACTAGAAATAATTGATGATGCATGATTATGTTATGTTCCACTTTTATAAAACTATCTATTTCAGACAGCAGCCTTGTTAGTAAAACATCCTCATGGAAAGTGTCTTTCATACTAGTTTAACTGGCTGCCATCAGTAGTCCATGATTATTTCTCTCCTCTATCAGTCTCAAAAATCCCACATTGATCCAGCTCTAGGTGAAGTAATAATCTTGAGAATTTTCATTGGATTGAATGTCTGTCAGCCATCTATCATAGAGTGAGATCACACTATTGTAACTGAGCCTTTGGCCCAGTGATGGAGTGTCTTAGACATTCAGCATCACAGCGTCGCTGGAGTCTAAGGAAAGATCAAAGCAGGCCAACAGTAAGTGAGTGAGTCTGATTGTTGGACCCCAGGAAGAATAGCTAATGTGTATGTATGAAACAGTAAACAACATGTTGTCTATCATGTACTTTGAGAGGAGTACTGCTGTTCACTAGCTTTATACCTTTAAAAACCTTCTATGTTCTTTTGTTTTTGGCACCAAAAACACCAACAAAAATCACTGTAACTGAAAAAGGATAATTAAAAACAAAGTATTAATTTTTATAAATAAAGCACCTCTCCTCCTGTAGTTCCTGCAGAGACTGCTGCGCTTCTTTGAAGAGTTTGTTCTTCTCCTCACACTCCTCCTTCAGCTCCCGAACCTGGGTCTTATACAGCGTCTGGAAAAAAAACAACAACAAATAGTGTACAGGTCAAATACAACAGCAGCTAATTACAACAGTCAGTGCCTCCCGAGCATCTTCAGAAAACCTTCTTCTTTAAACTCCAAAGAGGTTTTTTTTTAAACAATTACTTCTCCTGGTGAATGGATAAAGAATTAAAGATTGAGCAGGGATCATTGAATCCGTTATCTTAGTTAATCAATCCCCGCAAAGACCTGCATTAGCAACTCAAATCTATACAAATGTGCTGGAGGCAGGTGGAAGCCCACACACTCAGCGAGCGAGATGCAGAACCATAATGTGCTGCTGTCTGTCATTAGTCATCCAAAAAAGAGATTAGAGTTCAGACTCACAGAGAAATACTGCTCAGCCTCCAGCTGGTCCTGTAACTCCTTCATCTGCCCGTCGGTGTCTTGTCTTTCTCTGTAGTAAAAAACAGAAGTATGATTTAGGACTTGCCCTCCTCTTCATTTAAAGATATGAGGCATGCAGTATGAATGAAATTGAACTGACTTGCGCAGCTCTTGGTTCTGTTTCTCCAGGCTTCGTTTTATGTCCAGGAGGTGATTCGTCTCCTGCTTGAGCTGCTTCTCGGAGGTTCGCAGAGAACTGAGCTGCTGGTTCTGAGCCTTCAGGTCATTCTGAGTCAGACTACGTTTCTGGGTCTCTTGCTCGATCTTCAGCGTCAGGTTCTTCACCTGAAAGAATCCATCAAACACAGAAGGAGCAGAGAATGAGAGAAGCTGGAATGCTGAATAAGCTTTTTAGTTTTATCATTTAATCAAAAAAACAGTTTTCACCGACGACCTGCACAGAACATCAACACTCCCTCACCTCCTCAGTGAGTCGGTCCTTGTGCCTCCGCAGCTCGTCTAGTTTCTGCAGCGCCTGTTTGTAGTCGCAGTCCATCATGCTGCTGTGTTTCTCCAAATCCAGGATTCGGTTCTCCAGCCGCAGTTTGGCTGCTCGCTCCTCCGCCAGCTTCTGCTCCATCTCTGGATGGTCGTCATTTTATCATATCAATACATTATTCCAAGCAAAAGTTATGACAATAAGTGCACATTCTGTAACATGGCATTAAGTGCTGTTTGGTAAAGTCACATGTCCATTTGAGGTGAATCATTACAGAGTTCACATCTCTTATTTACAACGGTACAAACCAGGATGAACAGACAGTTGGAGTAAAAAAAAAGATTATATGAGAGAACAATTTCCACCAAAGGGAGGATCTTACCCTTCATTGACTCTGACTTGGCGCCCTCGATAGTCACTTTGATCTTGCTCTTGTCTGCCAGCAGCGCCCTGGTGGCCTTGTGAGAGGCCTCCTCCTGCTCCAGCTCCTGCTGCAGCACCTTCAGCTTGTAGGTCAAATCGATCTCCTTGTTGCTCATCTCCTGTACGTGGAAAACAAGGGCAGAGGTGCTCTGAAATGATCCTGAGGTTTGAAGGAAGACTTTGTGACATTTATCACATAAATATAACAGAAATCAAGTTTATCATGACTGTCTACAACGAGTGAGAAGGGTGAGACCCGCCAGCTATTTTGTTGTTGGAGCCTTGTTTACATCATGTTTACATGGACAGGGCGGCCTTGAGTATAAATCTGTTTTAGTCAATGAATAGAGAGAAGAAGAATGACATAGTCTACTCACTGATTATTTGGATGTCATGTAAGTGTGTTTAGATCACGATCATTCTGTGTCAATTTATGTGCAATATGAAGCTTTGAGCTAACCAAAGTGTGCTAACATTAGCATGCTAACACAACAATGCAGACCACAGGCAATTACAGCTTGAGCAAAGGACAGTTTTGTTTCTCCTTAGTGCTTGGAGGGGGGGTTGGGGGTGTGAGAGGAGAGTGGAGGCTTCAGAATAGAGGAGGTGTGGCCAAACAGAAGTTTGTTTTGGTTTCATGCTGGTGCTCAAGGGCGACATCTACTGGATCAAAAAAATAATAATCACACCTTTTTCTTTAAAGCTTTCTATTTTAAAAATAATTGTTCCACTTTGAGAGCAAGTTTTTAAATTTATTAATTTGTACTGTGGAAGGAAAACACTTGATGATTCAGCTGTTTGATGAAAATGTTTTTTTTTTACTGATGTCAGATGAAACAGGACGAAGTACTCTGGCAGAGACTCAGGATGTTTATTTCATCTTTGCAGCTCAAGAATCTGAATTAGCCCCCCAAGCAATTCATATGACTAAACAGTTTCTGAGTTTTTAATTAAGAATGAAATGCCTGCGGCTATCTCATGAATATACCAATGGCGTATTTTAATTTTGCTGTAACAAGTTCACTTCTAAAGTTGTTCAGGTGTAGAGCTCGGTTCAGACTCCCCCCCCCCCCAAAAAAAAAACAAGAGCTTTAAACATTGAAAAAGAACAGTTTACCTTCTCCATATCTGTATGCTTTTCCTGAAGTTGTCTCTTCTCACTCTCAGCCTTGGACAGAACATGTCTCTGCTGACGGGCCTCCTCCTCCAGACTAGAGATTCGTCCTGCAAGACAAAAGCACGGGGGACTCAAAGACACATAATCCAAATCAAGAAGCTCTGAGGTTTCTCTTTTCTGTTTGTCTTCTAAATCTTTTATGCATTAAGTATATTTACCCATGTCTAAACATCAAAATGCACAGATTAAATGCAGCCAGGAAGTGATTGGGTTAAACCTTTCACAAGGTGAACATTTGTCTTTTGAGTGTCTATGAAGAGTTCAGAACTAACCCCTCTGCAACAGATTTCAATGTGAGTTGGTTTTGGTCTTCAGAGTGTTCAGGTAATTATTCTTAGCCAGGGTTTTCACACGGTTACAAAACCCCATTCTGTCCTGATCATCTGTACTTAGTACTTTACAGAAGAATGCAGCTTTGAACTCAATCAATCAATCAATCAATCATTATTTGTATAGTGCCAATTCATAACAAGTGTTATCTCGCGATGCTACACAAAAGAGCATATAGGATAATATGCAGGAAGGATTTCTCCTTTGTATTCCTCGCGTTCTGATGTCCACACTTCCTTGCTGCTGAGGTGGAGGTCGGAGCAGGCCGTGCATGAACGAGGACGGCAATGGTTTAGGGGACGTCACAGTCTGATGGTAGAGGCTGTGGCTCATCACATTTTTCCTCTATGTTCAATGATTTTACTCAAAGATTACAACTTTACCTTTTGGAAAACTAAGCCAACAAGGCTGTTTGACTTGATATTCAATAGCAAGCAAGCCTTAAAAAAAACTTTCATACAGCCACTGTAGCGTCCTGTCCCTGATTGTAGCGTTAAGTCTTGCTGAGACTTAACTGATTATGATTAAACAGAATAGCTTAAGGCAACATGTTGGCAAACATTTACATGATCTGAATGCTATTTCTCCAACATCCCAGTACAATACAGAAAGCAGCTGAGTCACTGACTTGTTAAAACAGATGAAGAGAATAAGCAGGTATCTGGGCGTGTTTACTGTTTTTGATTAGAGTACGACCTTAGCTCCATTAACACAACCAGATAGAAGCTTTTATAGGACAGTTTAAGTAGACTGTTGTTCTAATCAGATAACAGTTGATTCATTAGCCATAATGATAACACACTCCCTCGTACACACACACGCTGAAAAACAGCACAGTCAGTTACTGTTGCACACTGAGCAGCTGGAACAGAGCGAGCAATGGTTTGATTTAAAGTCCTGTCCACAGGAAGAAGAGGATCATTGTTTTATTCTCTATGAATGTGTTTAAGCCTCTTATCTCCTTATATCAGATGTGTTTGTTTTCATTTAGATTCAACCTGACTCACACACAAACACAGATAGTGTGTTGTTTGCAGAAAGGATTCAGCAGTGAGAGGCCTGAAAGTCTCTTTGCTGTCCTCTGTATTTGTGAAGCACGGTGCTCTGGTGGTACCGTTAGCGGCCCTCTCAAATCTGCTGTGTGGCAGACAGCGGCTGACACAGCACATTTTAATTCAAGGTTTGTAATAGGAATCACGATTAGTTAGTAAAACATTAGTCACTCTATCAGAAATACTTCATGGTGGAATTTGATGACAAATTGGTGGCATGGTTGGACAACAAATGCCTTTTGGAAATAAAATCCCATTTCTGTTTTCGGATCATGTTTAAAAGAAGAATGATTTTCACTTGAACTTGTGCATGCGCATATGGAGCTGCCATCGCTTCCCTGAGCTCCTGAAGTTAACAGAAACATGAGCGCTCTCTTCAGGCAAGAACAAAGTCAACATAACGGTGACATGTAGGACTTTTCTCCCCCCCAAAAAAAGTCTACTCAGTCATCGTTTTCAATGCACATCCTCGAGACAACACAGCCTGCTTTAGGTTTCTCTCAACCGGCGACTTAAAGCAGCAGAAGGAATTATTATTTATTCAAACATCTTAAGTGAGTTGACCAAATAAGAGTGTAGGGTGTGCATCAATCAATTTAGAGGCATTAGAAAAGTCTGGACATGCTGTTTCAACCAGCCATCATATCTGCTCATCAATAAATGCAAACCCTTCTGAACACTTTGTAAATATGCGCATCACCCACCCATCAGGTCGCTGATGGTCTCCGAGCCCTGGCTTTGCTCCCGCCTCTCCGTCTCCAGCGCCGCCTGCATGCTGATGCACTCCTTCTCGAGGCTCAGCTTGCTGCGCTCCAGCAGGCAGCATTTGTCCTGCAGCTCGCGCACGTTGGCCTCCAGCTGCTGCAGCTGCTTGCTGCTGTCCGTCTGCGTTTTACGGAGCCTCGTCGCTGCCTCCGACTCAGCCCGCAGCAGTGTGTTGGCTTCTTCCAGCTGGAGACAAGAAAAACAAACAAACAAACAAACAAAAGAGAAGAAGAAGAAAGAATCCAGAATCAGTGTGCAACTTTGGTTTGTTACTCATCATTTCCATTCATCACTTCTGTAAAGGTTTATTTTTGGGGGTGCTTATGGCCTATTGGTTTGGGGCGGGTGGCCCAAGATTCAAGTCTGATTCTCTCTCTCTCTCTCTCTCTCTCTCTCTCTCTCTCTCTCTCTCTCTCTCTCTCTCTCTCTCTCTCTCTCTCTCTCTCTCTCTCTCTCTCTCTCTCTCTCTCTCTCTCTCTCTCTCTCTCTCTCTCTCTCTCTCTCTCTCTCTCTCTCTCTCTCTCTCTCTCTCAGAGAACAATACTGTACATAGGGAGAGCTCACTAACCACTAGGCTACCAGTACCCCCATATTCATTCATTTTATTTAAATGTGGGTGGCAGTTTATAAATGTGGCACTCAGTGACGGACCTGTTTCTGCAGGTGAATGTTTTTCTCATTGGAAATGTGTGAATTCTGGTTTCTTTTCTTCATGTCGTCCAGCTGATCTCGAAGGCTGTTGACTGCAGAACAAGGACAAGAAGGACACAGGACAATGTGTTAAAGTGAGCTCTCTCATTTAGTTAACAACATGGATGATTAAAATCTTCAGAGTTTGAAAATAATAATCTTTGATTGCACCAAAGTTCTTGTGTAAAATGTATAACAGCATTTCAGTATCAAGGACAAGTTTGAGGAACAGAGCAACAGTTTCAAATTCATCAAAGGGAGCCGGTTAACAGACATAGTGAGCATGTTTGCAAATGATCTAGGAGTGACTTTGTCCATGTGATGGCAGTATTATCCACATGATATCAGTCTGTCTGTTAACGTCTGTAGAAACAGAAAGCTATGAAGCAGAAGGCAATGCTTCACAAGATGCCTTTAAAAAAAATAAATCTGTGATCAGCAGACAACGGAAAGTGTGTCTCTGCATGTGTTGACTTCACAAATCTAAGAAAACTATGATCCTTAAACATATCTGCATCTCTTATAAGAGACAAGGAGAGACAAGAAAACACATTTATATTTTCATTTCATTGTACAGTGTTCCCGTTTGTTATTTATTTGTATTATATCTTTGCTTTAATACAGTGTATAGCTTCTGTACAGTTTATTTTAATTTACTTAGCTGTTACTACAACTTATTTTTTTTTATTATTATTTGTACTTTCCTACTCTTTTTATATAATTTTAACTTTGTTTTGTAGAAGCTGACTCAATACACATCTATTCTATTCTATTAGTTCTGTATCAATGTCTCTGCTAGTCAAAAAGAAAAGTAAAAGTAATTTGATTTATTTTTTTGAAGGTGTGTTTGATGTCACCTTCGTTCTCCAGGCAGCGCTTCCTGTCAGCCTCGCTCTCGGCCTTGCGGTGGCTGTCCAGGCTCTTGTGCTGCAGCAGAGCTTTCTCCCTCTCCAGCTGCCTCAGACTCGACTCCAGACTCTTCCTGCTGCTCACCTAGAAAAAAACAAAACAATTAATCATCATGTTCTTAGTTCAACATGGACTATACGGCTGGTTTCACAGTGCTGCATGGCCCTAACCGGCTTTATGGGACATGATTCCTCAGAATCCAATTGGGGGCTTAACATGAATCCAACCCCAATAGACATTTTAATATGGCTATTAGAATTCAGCGTGCACTCCAGCTGAAGCTCAATAAATATGACAGATTGACATTCAACCACTTCATGGTCAACTGAAGACTCAGAATATCATTATTTCTGTTTGATTGTTTGAGAGAATTTTCTTTTTTAAAAAGGTGGACGGTCATCCAGGGGGGAGCTGGGACAATCGGATAAAAAAAGATAGTTTTTTTTATTTGTTTTAGTTTTATTTATTGAGCTGTGTCTGTAGCTTTTATTTTGTGTGCAAATGTGTGTATGGGTGGGTGTGTATATATATATATATATATATATATGTGCATACATGCATATTATAATTTCATTCAGTAAATTGGTCTTTGTTTCAAATTTTATGTATAGTTTTCCTCATCAAGGCAACGGCAATCTGTAAATAGTTTGTATGTTTGAGGATGCTGTCTTAGGTTTCTGTCATTGAAGCTCATGTGTATAAACATCTTATGTAAAATTTCAATAAAAAAAAAAAAAGTCTGATAGAACCAAAACAGACGAGATCTCTCTGTCATTATCAGGTGTCTGTGCTGTGGATTCAGTAGTTGGCTGCTGTATCATGTTGATTTACTCACCTCATCTTCAAGCTCTTTGCAGATTTTGTCTAGCCTGCATGTGGCAGCTCTGCAAAATAAAAACAAAAAATTAAAATAATTATGAATGTGCTGTATACTAAGCTCAGGTGTGTCAGTGATTAAACATAAAACACTATGAGGTCATGTCTCTACTGTACCTGTATTTGTGCTCAATCTCATCTTTGACCTGCTTCTCGTTGTTCATCTGAACCTCCAGGAGGCGCAGTTTCTTCTGCAGTGCTGCCGACTGTGGACAGAAAACAGAAATGTATCTACACAGTGACTAAAAAAACCAACGTCTGTATTCCTGCTGCTGAAGTTCTCTCATTCAAAACTTTAATGACAAACTGAATCTTGATTTTGTGGTAAAATAAAGTGGGATCAGTTGTTTTCTTATTTCTTTAAATCAACATTCACTTCAGATACAGGTCTCTCTGGAGTTAAAGTAAACATTTAAAATTCAGGAGTATTTGATATTCAATCTGCAGTTTAGCATTTCTTTGTCACTTCAGATCAAGATAACAAGCTGTTAAATATAATCTTTTAGTTTACCACCTGATATCATAATGTAAAAATAAACAGTCGCTCATTTAAGTTCAAAGTTTACTTTCGATAGGCTCGGTTTATCTGCCGTTCTGTGCTTCTTTGACTCCAGAGAGTATTTTACATCGATGAGAGAGAACCAAAAATGAGCAGAATCTGAGACTACAACACCAAAACAGAAACACACAAAAGCTGAAATGCTGAACAGAGCTGGTCATGTTCGGATACATCTCTTTCTTTAGTTGGTGGATACAGCTGATCCTTTCACGCCTTTATTTAGTTATTTGATCATGAGTTTACAGAGCTTTGATTAGCAGGAATTAAGATGTATAATGTGCATCACTTTAGAGTACTGTTCAATATAAATTGACACCAGTGTTGGGCTACTGAAAAAAAGGAATATATTACTCATTACTCTTTTATTACTCTTTTTAGTAATATAATTACATTACTTATTAGTCCCTGCCAACAGTAATATGTTACACTACTCGTTATATTACTTTTCTTATTAAGCCACACGTTTCATTAGTTCTTTTTCTCTTGTAGATGTCCACGATTAAAATCCAGTCAATCAGTCAATCAATCAATCAATCAAATTGTATTTGTACAGCGTCAACTCATAACAAGTGTTATCTGGAGACACTTTACAAAAAGCAGGTAAAAGACCTTACTCTTTGTCTGTCAGTCTTGGTTGTTTTGTTTTGTAGGGCCACAGCTATCGTCCGCGGCCGCAGAGGGCTCGTTGGTGGGGTTTATTTACACGAGCTTCACGTTGTTGTGTTGTTGATGTAAGTGCTTAAGGAGGTTTGAGGTCGTGTTTTTTGCAGTAGAAAGAGACCTAGTACCAGGACACAATCTACATCTGACAACGATGTTCTCCTCATCTTTCCTCTCGAGAAAACTAAAATAATGGGAATATTTCTAGCCGCTGAATGTAAACATGAGCGCTTCCATCTTCCAAGCTAACCAGGGTTGCCACGTCTGTATGACAACAATTGACAAAATAAGCCCAATGGACAAAAAAAAACCTCAGCACCTAAAATGAAGCCCAATTCAGCAAGAAAACTGCAAACCTGGCCACCATGATGCTCACTACCTTCCTGCTTGTCTGACATGCGCGATGAAATGAATCTGGGGATTGTTGCATTTTAAATCAGAAGTGGGGTAATAACAACAACAGTAAGGTAGTAACGAGTAACTGGAATATTATAACTGGAATTTCATTAGTAATTCGTTACACTACTCGTTACTTGTAAAAGTAATATTATTACTGTTACGCCTTACTAGTAATGCGTTACTGCCCAACACTGATTGACACATTCTAACTGATAAATTCCACCAGATATGTGTTCGTCTCCCTGATAGTTTTTTCTTTAGTCTCTGTGTGTGTGTGATTCCCTTGGCTGTGCTGCGTCTCAGCTCTGGCAGTCCAGAAACCCTCTGCAACAGATACACAAGGCTTCTAATGTTGCCAGAGAACGTTTCATAATTATGAGAATAAAACACTCCGTTCCTGACGGTTCAGAACAATGACCTAACATACGTTTGTTGATGTGTTTAGAAGGGTTTTATACAGCGCTATACAACAATCATTGTGTTATCTTGCACTGATTGTGTAAAGACCCGATCAGCTGATCGGTGCTGCCGTAGAAAACGGACGAGGGGAGCTGACATGCAACACACATGTATCTGGTGGAGATTCTGGGTAATACTGTATGGAGATATACTGAAGTTTTTTTTTTTTAGACCTTATGAAAGTACACATCACCATATGCACAAATATGAGTAAAAAAGAGCTCACTATGTTGACTAAATCAGATCTGTGACATCACAGCACTGCAAAATGTGCAAATGAGAACTCAGATTGAATCTTTGCACATTGACAACTCATTCATAATCAGTTTTGTCTTTGAGAAACAATATAGTCAACAGAAGATGTAACTTGTGTATCAGTAGGTTTTAGTTGTGCAACGGATCAGAAATCTCACTGTTCATGTCTGATCACAGATTTATGACACAGATCGTTTTTCAGATCAACCAAACAATCAAACTTTTCCAGTCTTCAGCCAGTCATGAATGTAACTGTGCATTTAAAAGCAGGACAAATCACAAGACAGAGTGCTTTTAAGAAACTAAGAACAGCAGTCTGTATCATTTCAGTGACATTGATTGTTGTTACCACCAACTCATTACATCAACAAACAAACACTGAGCAGAAATCTTTCTGTGAGTAACCAGTTTGCTTTAATCTACAAAAGCACTTTTCTTTGGTCTTGTCTGAGCTATGACAATGTTGAACACATAACACATGCACACCGTTTATTAAGCAGAGTGTGTGTGTGTCTTTCTAGTAGGGCGTGGTGTGTGTGTGTGTCACACAAACAAGGCAGCGTGCATTCAGGGAATTATATCTTTAGTTTTGGGACCAAACATAGAGCTAAGCGGGGTAACATTACATCTGATTGTTGATACCTGCATGATTAAATGCAGACGTGTTCAGACTGAACAGAGATAAACTGAAGCACTGTTTGATATTAAATACTCTGTATAATAACCTCTTAAATATCATCACATTATGACACTTTGTTGCATGAAAGTTTGTACAGGACATGGCACCTGCTGCTCTCCTGTCACAGAGACTTTATACTTTAAACCATGATAATGTGGCTTTCTTTCTCTATCCATCCTCAGATCACATCAGTGGTGTAGTGTAGGGTAAATGCAGGGTATATACACACTTATTTTACAGTACCCACTTCTGATTTACACCATTGATCGACTGACAATACTCAGTAGGTATTTCTGCTAAATTTCAATGATATGAAAATAATTCAATTGCAGCACTTTTCTTTGTCCTTTCATGAATGAGACCCTTTTGATTTGAGTTATTCTACACAATTTACATGTACTTCCTTTGTTGAAATTGTGCACCTTCACTTTTTTCAATACATTGTCTGTTTTTTCTAGCAGTATTTCATAGGATGGTGAAGAGATGACTCTGTGTACTCTTTCTCTGATTGGCTTGATTGGCAGTTTATAACAGACCGTTTATCCTCTGCTGGAAAGGTCGCTTAAAAAAAAAAAAAAAGAGGGTCAATCTGAACAGATCACATACCAACACTGATCCTTTCACCAGCAGCGGTTCTAGACCACTTTAACTGAGGGGGCCAAACTGGGGCCAGCTGTTTTGTCAGAGGGGAACATTAAACCCAGGTGAAAAATACACAAAGATGATCGCTTTAAAAAATATATATTATGCCAAATAATAGCGCACATCATTAAATACCATGATTTATATTTGTTTCAGTAACAGTATTTAATAGTAGATTGTGAGTCAAATACTGTGTATGTGTTATTAGGGGGGCTCTTCCTTTTGGAGGGGTGGCCACAGCGGAGACCAAGCTCCGTGTTACAGGAGTACTGGCCCCTGTTGGCCCCTGCATAGAACCACAAATATCTATACGTTTCCATATTTTCTTACATCCTTATAGTTTGTGCAGTGAGTTCTGTTTTCAACAAGTGGGACTAGATCTCTGAACATCCTCAAGATGAAAGGTTTCTTTACAGCAAATTATTAACCCTGAAAGTAAATACAGTATACAGTTTAATACTCCAAATAAATCCTTTTGTTGTCTTACTCCAAAGTAGCAGCAGATTGTTTGGACTGTTTAGTTGAGAGAGAGAGAGAGATTAGCTTTTAGCTTAAATTCTTACTCCCAAAGCTGCTTAGGTCTCTCAGTTCAGTTAAGAACATTGAAATTCTAACAAAGTACAAATAAATTGTGGGATCAGAGAAGAAATCCCTTTCTGAGTCATTTCCATGCTAATCCTGAATGTTTTACAGAATTAAGCCGGACTGATCGCAATGTCAACAGGCCTGTTTCCGTGTGGTCGTGTAAGCCGACACCTTCTTTATTTGTTTTAGTGGATCGGGACAGAAGGTATTACTGGAGTTGTTCAAGGTGCACCTGGCCTTTATTGTGTGTTTAAGGGTTAAATGACCTACCTCTCCTTTTGAATTCTCATGAGCCACAGAGGTATTGTTGGAAGCAGTAAGTAACCTAAAGAAGGAAATGAACAAAATCAACACAAAGTGAAGAAAACAGCCGAATACCAATGTGTGATCCAGAATCTGTCCAGAAAGAATCAAACAATCAAAGAAGGGAGGAATATCTCACTGGTCTTCTTTGAAGTAGGTAAAGCCAACAAAGGGTAACTGGTTTCCTACAAAGGCCTTCGGTGTTGGGAAGGTTTCCACATCGCCTTTGTCATCTTCAATCTCGTCAAAATTACTGGTGTCGATGTCACTGCTCAGCTCGGGGACGACAGGGGCAACAGCTGGGAAAAGAGACAGACGTGCTGTGTAAATACATCTTGAGCTATACTTTCATAAATAACGTCATATTCCATCGTTTCCTGCTACTAACTTTCTCTGATGGTGTCGAAGGTCCACTGGTCGTTCTTGAAGAAAGGGTGTCGCTTGATTTCCTCCACACCGTTTCTGCCCAAACGCACCTCCCTTTAATCATCGAGAGGGAGAAGAAGAGAAATGTTTTTGTTCTACTGTCTAGACTCTATTGTATTGTATCATTCTCTGAGATGTCAGCTTTTCTGTGAAATGTCACAGTCCAGGTTTTGTTTTCTATGTCAGATGAAGAAAGGAGGTTACTGTATTTGTTCAGCCAGAAGGTGTTTCAGCTCGCTCAATTTGATCCATTGCAGTTAAAGTCGGCGCTTAACGATTGTTGAAAATAACTGATGTAAATGCTTTGCTTGTCACTGTTTGATGTGCACTATATTGTAGTGTATCTGTTCCTTTAAGCCTGGCTCACACTGTGTGATTTTTCCCTGATTGTATAAAAGTCGGGGTGGTATGTCAGCTCACACTGTACGACTGAATCGTTTACGACGCCCGGCCAGACCTTGAGATTGACGTGCTCACACTGTACGACCCGATTGTCGGGCACGGCCGGAGAGCTCACACTGTACGAGTGAAATCGGGACGGAGCGTTGACAATTGTTAATAAAGTTTAATTTGAAAACTCCAATGGACGGCGGTCGGTGGAAGTTGTTGTAGGATATAGGAAAGTTGATATATATATATATAGATATATGGATACAAGTTTCAGAAAAGTGCTGCACTGATGATCTCTACTGAGAAAAAAAAAAAAAAACGCCGGGTTGTGTCCTGCCGCTGGTTGCCATGACTACAGTCCTCCCTTGTCTCTAGTGATTATATTGCAGTCACACACAACTTCTGCCGGACCCTTTCATGACATAAATGTTAAGATTTTAAATTCTAAATATCAAACATGTTTGAAATAAATCGGGGAGTCCCTGACGATCACTGGGCAGATCGGGTGAGATATGCAAGATAATCTGAACAGATAATCGGGTCTGAGCAGCCTGGAGTCGGGAGAGACCCTGAGATTGTCAGGAAGGAAGAATGGGAGCTCAAATCGGCCCGATTATCCTGCAGTGTGAGCCAGGACTAACTCTTCTTTTATTAAACACACAGTATGTAAAATCCACCAGCAGGGGGCTCTCAATCAAAACAATAACAAAAGATGACGTCGAGGCTGGCGGGGAAACATGGGAGTGAATCACTCTGCTTCGCCACCGTATTAGTTATTCAATAGGAACGGGCGAAACCCATTAGAGAATATGTTTACCAATGTTGTTTTTATCACAGCAGCACATACAGCAGCAGTATGGCCGCTTTCAGTAGCAGCTCCCGCTTCCTCATGCAGCGGTCTTTGACGTAACATTTGGCGTTTCTTGGGCAACAATAAACATTTCGGGTCTGTCATGGCGGCTCATCATGGCAGCTGCCGCGACAAGACACGTCCCGTTACAGCTATAAAATTATAGTATTTATAGTAATTGTAAGTATTTCTCTGGCTTTGATAACTGTTGGAAATTTTTGAGGTGATGGAAGTACTCAACAACAAAAACTGTGTAACAGGTTTAGTTCATTTTTAATTAATTTAGATATTTGAATGTAAACATTGTCATACAGTTCTACATATTATACCTTTAACTGCTCCTGTTTGTTATGTTTGTCAGTGTAATAATCTACCTTTTAGAGTCTTGCACTATCAGGTTATTGGAGTCCCACAATCTGACCCACGACTAACACAACTCAACTGATCTATTTCAGTGCTTTGTGTTTAAATATTCTTTTCAAACAGTTTGACCTATGAGCCAGAATAAATCCCCAGCTAAATAACACGCTGATGACACTGAATTGTCCTTTACCCAGAGGTTGCCAAGCAGAAAAATAACATTATCCAAAGTCCCCACTTTAAGGTTCTAATTCTGCTCGTCTGTCAGAACAGCGACAACATACTGTGAATTAATGGGTTAATAATATCGGCTGCAACTGAATGTATTTGTGTATATGTATGTATTTATATATATCAGGGGTGCAAACTCATCAGGGATGAAAAAGGTGACATGGCACCTGATATATATATATATATTTTTTTTATTATTATTATTATTTTTTTTTAATATATATGTGTCTTTACGTATCTATGTTACAACAGTCGCTAATGGACAACTACCTTAGGAAGCTGGGAGGGTAAATTGGTGTTTATTATTTTATTGTCTTGTTTTTCTGTTGGAGCTTTTTGTTTTACTCTATGCAGATGCTCTGATCTACTGCTTTGTGACATCATGTTGTACTGTCTGCAAATATTTAATAAAAAGATTTGGGGAAAAAAATTATATCGGCTGGTTAATGTGAAAAACATATATATATATATATATATATATGCGCGGAACAGAAGTTATTTAATCTGTGTTCCCACACGGACCGCAAAGCGGAAGCACACCTCAGGGTGGAGGAAGGCTGCGGCTGCTGGTATGGGACACAGCTTTTAGTTAGTAACTTGTAAAAAAGTTCAAACATAAACTGTGCAAACTGTGCAGATTACTAGTTCCTCGAGTCCTGTCGGTTTGGACAGTTGCATATAACCAAAGCCATAACAAATGCTGTTAAAGTTCTTATATCGACAGAGGGAAATATTAATAGTTCTGCGATGAAACTGTCCCAAATGTGATTAGGTTTATTATGTGCTCAAAGGGCATTCAAAAAACGGTTGGCTTAATAAACTAAAAGGTGTCAGTGTAATTTAAAAGAAATATTTTTACATATAGGCTATATTAATTACTTCATTTCATTCTAAAATATTTTATTTCATTCATATCTTTTATTTATTGGAAACTCTTTTGGTTGAAGGATGCAGCATAAGTTCATTTTATTCTGCCTTAGCCCAATGTGTAAAAGGGAAATTCTAAATGTTCCTAATAAAGAAAAAAAAGTGTTGCATCAGGTCCCTTTACTGTACCGAAAATGTACCGAACCGAAGCTTCAAAACTGAGAACCGTACCGAACCCAAATTTTTGTGTACCGTTACACCCCTAATATGTGTGTGTGTGTGTGTGTGTGTGTGTGTGTGTGTATATATATATAAAATGTGTTTATATTGCAGCACACGTCTGTCACTCGCTCTACCTGTCGGTCAGGAAGGCACAGATGATGTTCTTGGCATCTTTGGAGATGTCCACGTCATCAGGGAAGTTGAGGGAGTTTTTATGGTCCATGATCTTACTGTATGTTCCCACCAGAGAGTCGGCATAGAACGGTGTGTCACCTAGCAGAAATGACAGATTATTATCTGTTTTACAAAGGATTATTGAAATCAACTGAGATCATTCCAGCATGTGTTTACAGAGCAAACATGTGAAAACCATCTCTCATAATGCAAATATATCATCAGAAAACACCTCATTACATATTGACTTACCGACGAGCATCTCAAAGATGAAGACCCCTACTGACCACCAGTCACACTCCCTTCCATAATAGCCGTCTCCTCCCTGAGATTTCAGCACCTCTGGAGAGATGTAGTCTGGAGTCCCAACTGCTGTATCACAGTGCACCATGCCAGTCTGCAACACAAATCCTCGAGTCAGCATCCTGCATAATGAGCTTTTTATTTTTGGGCATTTTGTACCTTTGATGGAGGGATAGGATTGGAAAGAGTACGAAATCAAGGAAAAAGAGAGAGTAGGGAATGACATGCAGGAAAGGAGCCACAGGCCGGATTTGAACCTGGACCGCTCGCTTAGAGGACTACAGCCTTTCAAACAAGGGGCGCGCGCACTAACCACTGCACCACCAGCCCCCAAGTCAGCAAGTGTACCTTGCTTGAATAAATAAAACAGATTCATTTAAATACAGATACAGTAGATGTAAAGTAAAGGTGATATATTAATTACATAAAGGTCGGTACAGAAATAGAGATTGAAAGATGGTCAAATTGATGGAACGTTTTGAGTAAAGACAGATTGAAAATAGAATAGACAGAGATAGATAAACAGAAACTGAAGGATGATAGGACAGACAGAACAGGTAGGTAGGTAGGTAGGTATTTATGTAAGAAGGTGGGCAGGTAGGTAGGTAGAAAGAGAGATATTTACATTTACATGTTCTGTCCTCCACTTGAGGAAAAATATTTTCCTTACTGCTTGTTCACAATATCCGGTATACATTTCATGCATACATTTGTTTCCAGAACAGTTTAAATATTCAGCCATTCTTTTCCCATAACCATCTAAACATCTATGAGAAACAGACTCATTTGTCTTTTAGGTCAAAAAAAAGAAGAAGAAAAAAGTAATTCCTCACACACACAATTTGAATGATGGGTTACAACTCACATGGTCCATCTTCATGCATGTTCCAAAGTCAGCCAGCTTAAGGTGTCCAAGTCGGTCGAGCAGCATGTTGTCAGGTTTGACGTCTCGATGGATGAAGCCCATGGAGTGAATGGCATCCAGGGCCATCACCACCTCTGCTGTGTAGAACTTGGCCCATTTCTCTGGCACGTCGTAAGTGCTGGTCAGGTTGACCAGGTCCCCTCCTGGCATGTACTCCATCACCATGTAGAGGTAGTGCTCGTCTTGGAAGGCACAGCACAACTGAAACAAACAAGTCCATCGTTTAACTGAAAGATATATCAGCATGGTAGCTCCTATCTCTCTGCCAAAGCTCAACGTAATTATGAGTATTGTTGGTTTGTAGATTAGTAGAAAGGTAAAGTCGGTGGTGCTTAAACTTCATACCTGCACAACCCAGGGACTGTTGGCAAAGGCCATGATGTCCCTCTCCTCCCAGAAGAAAGCCGAGTCTGAGCGCTTGATCATCTCAAACTTGCTCAGTAGCTTCATGGCGTAGACCTTCTGAGAGGCTTTATGCCGGACCTGAATGTTGGTGAGAGTTAAAAAAAGGAAAAAGGAATCTAACATTTATTTTGGCTGAGACAGATTTGGTCTAAATCGCAAAACACAGGTTACACTAAACAAGGTATATCAAGTCTTTAAAGTCTTTCTATGTGATTTTTCCCACTTAAATATAACATAAATCAAATATATCCTCTTAAAATAACTCTGTGAGTCATGACTGTCTACAATGGGTGTAACACCCGAGTCCCACTGTCTGTGATGTTTTCAGAGTTTTCAGAGTCCTATCTTCACTTTGTTTACATCGCCAGGACGGCCGGCTGACTCCTCCCCTCACGTATAAAAGTTGTTTAATTGAGGGACTAGAGAAAAGAAGAATAACATACTGTACTCACTGCTTAACTGTGTTTCTAGATCACGCTCATTTCAGGTAAATTTACATGCAGTGTGAAGATACCAGCATAATAAAGATCGCTAGCATTAGCATGCTAACACAACAATGCAGCGCGAGTTGTTTTTGTTTCATGCTGGTGCTCAAGGGCGACATCTGCTGGATCAAAAAATCACATAAAGCCTTTAAATGTCATTTTGATTGACATGACTGATGATTGGATAGTTTCAACACAATGCTGTGCAGTACATACAGGTCCTCACAGGCTTCGACTAAAGAAAGAGGGACAGAAAACTCTCCCTTTAATCAGTAACAGCACATTTTGTGATAGTTTTACAGAAAACCAAGGCTGGGATTTCCACATTTAACAGTAAACATTTTTGAATGTTAAAGGGGCAATATGTAGCTTTCAAAAATACTGAGTTTGTAGTGACACCAAAGGCCATAAAGCAAACTGCACCAGTAACCTGTTGCTCGCTCTCGCTGGCGTGCTCTTTCATCATCGGCCGGAAACACTGGATATTTACCAACATAATGTTTACAGAGGAGGTTAGTGGTCATACACACGTGAAGGAGTCTGTGTTGTGCTCGAGGCCGGTCGTTTATTTGTACTAACAGATTCCATATTTGGTTCATTCTCCATCCTACAAACGACAGTCTCAGCAGGCACAACTGTTGATCTGTGTAAGCGGAGCGGGGTGAGGAGGATGTCGAGAACGCCCATATAACATCACTTCCTGGAGCTTTCGCAGAAAATTCGACCCAAGTAATAATGTTATACAGCCAACACAGATAGACAGTGAACATCTACTTTTTCACATCAGTTAACCATTCACTTATTAATGGGCGATAAAAAACGATTTCTACATGTAAAAAGTTACATATAGAACGTTTAATTATGTTTTGGTTTTTTTATGATCAGGTGAAAAAACATGAAAATGAAACAAACTCTCACCAGTTGGACTTCCCCAAACGCCCCTCGACCAATCACTTTGACTCTGTCAAAGTCTTCAGACTTCATTTGGAGGTCACGAGTCTGTCGTATGACTTTCTCATCTGAGAATAAAGACGACAAAGAATAAATGTAGACAGAATTTAAACTTGTAAAGAAGACACATTTCCATTCCTCTTCTTGAACATGGAGACTTACATCTGTTTAAGAAGGTTTCAATGTTTTTGTTCTTGCGTAGTGCGGGGTAGTCCAAGTCTAAGACCAGAGCGTTGATGGAGTCCTACACAGAAAGAAAGAACAATCAATCATCAGTCGTGAGCGCAGAAAAACAGGGATCAAAGTGCAACATCCTCCACACATATTTTCAGGCTTTGGTGCATTGAAAGTTAAAAGTGGTGATGGTTATAAACTCCATGATATCAAATTCTCATGAGTGGGCAGGAAAGACATTTACAATATCAGATCAGCAGCACAGCTGTTGTTAATTCAAACAAACTCAGGTACACAACACAGAGAGGTGCAGAGTGATTTATGGCAACATCAGCAAAAAACATATTATTCAAGGACTGTGGACATGACGAGGGTGTTAGAAGTAAGAATTGTTCACAGCGCTATCTGGTCTCTACAGTTCATTCAGAAAGGTTTCAGCCTCTTGTAAAGTGGTCATCAGTAAATCAAAACTCTGGTCTAAAAAAATCTGTGTGATATCATGATGCAGCTATAAACTATGCATTGTTATTATCAGAGAATATTATTTCACAAATTGCACAATCACACAGCATTTTAAAGTGTTCCCGTACTCTCGTCCCTGTTTTCAAGAATACACCACCAGCAGGATGTGAGCGCTACATGTGCAAGTGGTGACACATTTTAGCCATGGAGGAGTGTGCATTGATCATCAAATGTTGGGTCATAACTGCCAAACACTGTGGTGCATTGAAACATGACAAGTAGTCAGTGATGAAGCAGTTAAGTTTGTCTTCTCTAATTATCAGCATTCCCTCACTGGTAACAAGACTAATGCTAACATGCACAGCTTCAAGTATCAACATATGTCATCAGTTGTGATTAACTTCAGCATATTCAATGCTAGTCTTGATCCTAGCGCTGGACATACTGCATACATGGTAAAATGGTAAATGGACTTAACTAAATGGAACTAAATGGACAGTCTTAAGTAACTAATCCCATTCATACACATTCAAACGCCACCGACGAAGCAGCAGGAGCAACTTGCCGAAGGGCATATCGGACGTGTGGCTGCGGGAGCTGGGGATCGAACCCCCGACCATCCAGCCAACAGAGCCACAGCCACCCCATACAAGAATGCATGGTTTAAACATTATTATTAATAATAATAATAATAATAATAATAATACATTTTATTTAAAGGCGCCTTTCAAAACTCTCAAGGTCACCTTACAGAGCAGAGATAAAAACAACGAAGTAACAACACAACCATAAAATTAACATTAAAAACACAAAAAACACAAATGTACAGGATGTGAAGGAGTTATGAGACCGGGTGGAGGATGATCAGTTTAAAAAGATGTGTTTTGAGATGAGATTTGAAAATGGAGAGAGTGGCGGGCGGGTGGTGCAGTGAGCAATTAAAATTTTAAAAAAGCATATTTGCTATTAATATAATAAAAATATCGATCGATACTTGGCCGCCATGAGACGATATAATATTGCCAGGAAATATTTTGATTCTATGCTGTATCAATTTTTATCCGGACCTCTTAACAACAGTGTCACTGAAAACATAATCAAAGCGTATCGTTTCAGACTCTTGAACAAACCTAACTGCATAAATCAGTTTATATTGTTTATGATGTTTATATTCTGTACATCTTCTCACCACTTCATTGGACATAAACAGTTAAATATCAATGCCACCACACAGAATGTCTGAATCAAAGGTTACAGCTTCGCACTAAAGTTTCATTCAAGTGTTGTGAAGTGGACAGACTTGATAAATAAAGAACAAGCAAAGAAAAAGATTCTAAGTACCAGGTGTTGTTTCTGGAGAGAGAGAGAGAGAGACAGACAGGATGAGTAGTTCTTCTATCAGCTGCAGTCCATTCGACTCACTCAGTGATATTCATCTGCTGACTGAAATGATGAACACTCTGTTACTGTGACATCAGTCTGTAAGAGAGAATAAGTCACCTCCAAACAGTACATATGGACGTTTCTAAAAACAGCTTTCATCACAATCATGGTCACTGGATTTCTTCAGTACGCTGCCTAGCAACCGTCTTTTTTTTTGGGGGGGGGGGGGGGGGGTATGACCAGCTGACAAGAAATGGTATGACAGCTAATGTTATTAATCATCAGATTAGAGTTTCTAAAAATATCAAATGAATGGAAAAAACGCTTCACATTTCTAAGATTCTGAGCAAATAACGAGTCGGACCACAGTAAGAAGAAGTATGTCTAAACATTTCGTAGCAACCTTAACAACCCAGTATTGTTGGGTCATAATAATTGTCCATAAAAATGTCACACATAAGTTGTGGAAAAATTGCTCGTCACAATTATCCAGTTATTTTTTGTATTTAAAATTATATTTTATATTTTGAGTTGACATTTGACTGTATGTTGAATTTACTTTCTGAATTAAAGATATATATATTTCAAATAAAAGTGACTCCCTACCAGAGAACAATAAAGCATGCCTAATGGTTAACATAACCTGCATTTGTTGTTGAACTTTTATAATCAAATGTCACTTTAGCTGTGGAGGTTCAAATGACCGTTCAGTGTGTGCAGCTTTCCTGATTTCCCTTTACAATATTCGGTCAGTGTCAGAGCTAAAAATAAATCTCAGGGTCTTGAGTCTTTAAATGTGTCGTTAAAATTGGCCATATTTTCCACTATGTCAACTTCTCGGCACAGCAGCCAAAACAGGAATGGAGGCTGGGAACAGGACTGCAGCTCTTCAGCAGCATGTTAGGTCAACTGAAAAGCAGCTGACTGACTGCAGCACTCAGGGATTTTATAATGAGATGTCGTTTGACCAGGGGGCAATGTGGGGAAAGCATTAAATAAGCAAAAGACAGACTGATGCAAAACCCCTAATTGTTACAGTGTGTAAGAGTAAGGAAGTCATCTATCAACTTTTGTCAGACACACATTCCTGAACGGTCAATGAGGAGCCCTTTGAAACAGTGGACCCAGCCTGCAGAGAACACCAGAACCCCACTCTCACCCAATGGTCTGAACTGGTTTCTGTCTTTTTTCCCTCTCTTCTTGTTCCCCTATCTTTATGGCACTAGACAGGATGGCACAGTCTGTTTCACGTTTCCCTCACTTCTAATTCTGTACCGGTTTTGTCCCTTTCCTTCTGCTCTCTCTCTCTCCCTCTTATCTGCCTTTTCCTTCTGCTCTCTCTCCATCATTCTTCGCTCGGCTGCAGTCAGCGCGCTGCACACTCTGTTTCATCATATCAACTTCCCCTTCCTTACCCATTAAAGGACTGACCTCACACAAAACTACTATTTAAGGGAAAAAAAATACACATGCTTTGGGGGGTGGAGAGCGGTTGTACACACATGCACACGCACAAGGATCTCCCTACGAGCATGACAATACAGGAAATGATCCACCACACCCCAGGGCTGGCAGATTATTTCACTGTGTCATGAAGTCAGTCCCTGTGTGCAAGTCATTTCCTCTGAGGCAGCATTCTGCTACTGCTGCTGCTCTGCATTCATCTGACAAAGAATGACAACCATACCAGCTGCAGGTAATACCATGTGTACAGTGCAGTATATTGTACGTTTTGACACATGATTAACAGCAAAAATATCACTTATGCAACAGCTAGTATAAAAACAAAAGATAAAATCAATCTCATACTGTGAGAGAGCTATTCATTTTGCTCCTCATTATTATGGTACAAGCTTTGGAAATAAACATCACAGACCTCTGTATTTTTCACAATAAAAATGAAACAATTATTTCATGTTTTCAGGCAGGTCCGTCCAAAGTAATGTCTGGGCCCCTGAAAGGCAGATCATGCCATATAATTATATCAGTGCATGCGTATTGGATCAGTAGCGATAGAGCTAGCCTCATCGCTAACATTCCCATCCTCAGCGTGGATCTGATCAGCATTTTCAGCTGACTGAAAAAAAGTTAGTTAACAAGTGGCAGCTCCTCGTATGCATAATAAAAGTCCAACATTTCTGATCTAACCTTTAAGTTTGATTGGCCCACCCATGACGTTAACATCACAAAACTAAATGGTTAGCCATTTTAAGAAAGTGAAGGAAGGGGGTTGTTACATTTTGAAATAGGTAACTATAAACATGATGATTTCTTTCTGTTAGGGTGAGTATTTACGAGTAAAACAAAATCATTTTATCATTGCTGAAATGTAGGATGGATTATGTTTTTGCTAACCTCATGCAGCCTCACTCTGTGTGTGAACATTTTAACTATTGGATGTAGGTAAAATAGCCATGCTTAACATTGCTTTGATGCAGTAAGATGAAGCTCAAGCTAAGTATAAGCAATCCTCAAATTAATATGTACCAATTTAGTAACGAAAGAAAAAAGATTTGTGGTTTCTGTTGGTTTCTGGAGGGAGGTGTTGCAAACACAGGTGTTGTGGTGAAGATCAAGAGATAGACAGAAACGCTTAAGCTAATATTTACTCTTTGATATTCATTTGAAAACATCACATCACATGTTTTTCTCATATCACGCAGGACTAGTTGATACATATTTCAGGCCCATAAAGTCTCAGTGATTCATTGAGTTCAGTTTTAAAGATGCCGTCGTGCGTCAGCTGCATTATTGTGACACCGTGGGTGTCAAGCTAGAACGGAAACAAGACAAACTACAGCACAAACCACAGGTGCTGCTTCTTCTTTTTTTCTATTCACTTACTCCTTTTTCAAGTTTGAGACATATGTATAATTACTTTAATTCCAAATATCATTTGAAGTCGATAAGTAGGACGAAGGACATGTTGACCTTGTGTTGACTATCACTTAAAACTCCATCCCAGTGTGATGCCAAGAGTTAGACTGTAGGTCAGAGACGCATGAGAGGAAGCTGTCACTGTGCATCAATTAGCAGTGATATATGTCAGATAACATTTTCATAACTCTAATAAATCATGTATTTAGTTGCATAAACATTTCATTTTCATAAAGACCTGAGTTCTAATGAGAAATGAACACTTGTGTATTTCTTTAGTATTAGATTTATTGCTGTTATCGTCGTTTCATAGCAACTCACCACAGCAGACTGAAATCTTTTCAGTGC